CGATAGGCGTCCCCAATAGAAGACAAAGGTCTTGTACTATTGGTAATGTAGGCAGAGGCCTAGCACTATCATAAGATGAAGGAAGAAGAAGTAAGAGAAGAGAAGTATCGTTCCCTGTCGCCAAGAACTAACCATCCGAGAAGGGATCGTTACAGCAGCCTTGATACATAAGTCAGCTGCAAGTTGCAGAAAGAATTTTCTATGACCCTCAGGGCCATTCTGAGATTCTCTTTTAAGTGCCAGCAAGGCCTCTGAACCTTCTAGTATCACTTCAGGACCGCCCAGGCGATCAAGGTTTCCTAAGACAGTGTAGAGGTCAGAGAAATCGGTAGGGTTACTTGCTCATTCCTGGTTACGATTCACTAAGTTTAGCGAATATTTATGACTCTTCTCTGAATATGAGCTATAGCTATCTTTGCCTTTTGACAGATTTTGCAAGCAGAATCAGGATGCACTTGCAGACACTTTGAAATATTAATCTAACTTTTATCGGTGAAGAGATGTAGGGTGAGAATTGCTGATCGAAGCTCAAGAGTTGTCTCAATTGCATTTTTTTCGTTGAACTATCTTGTAAGACTTCAACAAAACTATAGAAGAGAAAGAGGCAGCATTTGTACACATTCAAAATATTCATTCCTGAGGAGAATACTGGAAGGAGACTAAACAATTTCATGATAATGATGATGTTTCTTCGCATAATATGATGGTTGCAACATGCTGCTTTTGCAACCAGATTTCATGTGACGGATATATTCATCGGCCGCACTCGTATATGATTGTCTGAGAGTCGTGGGGTTCCTGCCCTTTGAAATTTCATGTCTGGGAGGTGGCTTGGCGTGCAGGGTTTTCTGCTTTATAAGGTTCTTTCCACGTTTTCTTGGTCATCTCATGGACAAGTTCCACCATACCCCTTCTAACCTACCTTTTTTCCACCTCCATCAAGTTTTGCTTCCTCCCTTTTTCTGCTCCTTCTGTGTCGGTCAATCGTATAATAGAGGGTTTGGCCGCACCGTGCTATCAGCATTCCGTTGCAAATTTAGGAATTGGTTTTCCCAGAAGACGCGATACCCGGTATCATACGTATAGTCAGTGTGCTTGAAGATCCGTTTTAAGTGACGGCGACTTTATTGTGGCGAATGTCTTGGAATCTTGTCACGCTAACACTAAGCCGAATAGGCTGTTTGTTTAAGCTACTGGTGTGGCCGGGTGGGGCACGTTAATTGACACCGTTTACCATCTCCTGCACCTCCGATCAATAAACGCCTGGACCTGGCGGCGATACCATGGCGGATCGTCTCGCTGCCCCTAGCCACAGCACAATTATCAATTGGCATGGTGTGTCTTAACCCCTCTATTTATCTCATCTCGGTTCAAGTCAATTTTCCTCTAAGTTATATATCCTTCGGCACCATGGAGTATATCGAGCAGTTCAGAGAGCAATATTTCCCACAAGTAGCAGAGTAGCAGCTCGGTCGAAACACCATCCAACTACTCCCGCGGCCGAGTTGATGTTGGACACTTTCTATAGGGAATTGATACCTTATGTGTCCAATCTCAGCTCGGCTGCGGGAGTACTCGTACTCGAGTAAGGAAAGGCCCATAACACCTCCCACACCGGTAATCCCTTCGTCTGTGTTCCAGCCCTCACTCTCGAGCTGAATAGGACGATATTGTCGTCACTTGAGGAAAAGGTCGATAGACTCCTCGGGGCTGGAAATTACGTTGGCCAGGCCACCGTTGAGCGATCGAAGCCATGCTTTTATAAGCCTAGCCTTTGAAGATCGGAGGAAAGAATACGCACTAAAAGGTCCTGGGGCTCGGGAACGAAGGGGTCGGCATCACCAGAAACGCGCAACAATTGCCCCATCATACAATGATCCACGACGTCTTTGCGTGTTCCTTCGTAAACTACCATGAATGCCGTGACTGATGAATGCCGTGACTGCGACGGTGCTGTTATATTGTCAGACAAGCTGCGAAGCACACCGAGAGAGCGCAGACTACGAGCGGAGCGAACCAACAAACAATACAACTTCTCGGTAGAGGCCACGTCTACGATATTTCACTGGGATAATTACCTCCCTAACTGACTAGACTCGTCTTTATAACGCACGACAGAAGAATGGCACAAGATCTTGAACCGCTTCAACTCGACCTCGGGCCGCAGCCTAACATCCCTGACTCGGTTTAGCATATCAATGAGGTTATGGTTCAGGTCTCTGGGATTCCCAACATGCCACTGGCCTGGCAGGCAGCTGCTCCGGGATATGCAGCGTAATATCCAGCATATACGGGCAGAGTAAATAAACCTTGTTCTTGTTCTTTTTTTTTTTCATTTAGGTAATCTTCTGTCTAATCCCTAAATAATTTAGATACGCCTTAGTCTAGTGTACCTAACACCGGTAGTCTACCCTTTGTACTCCCGGCTTTATGAAGGAGGACGCCAGTACCCGGTGCTCTAAGGCAATCTCCCCTCGACCGCCTAGTCTATCGTCCCCCCAGGGCCCTACTATTTGCCGGGAACGCTTGGGACCACTGCCGGCAGCCTGACTGCCAGTTATATTGTATAACTTTGGAGCTCGTGAGCACAAGCAACTCACGTATCCACTGGCAGTACCACTTCCCTATCCCCATTACCACGCACCATGGGCGAACTCAAACACATGACAGGTAATTTCAAGCTCACCGGTCAATGCGCCGTTACCCAGTACTGACAGTTAGATAGTTGCGCAGTGTGAGGCAGCTGCCATCCAGCTAGCGAGGGGAACGATTAGATCATGCTCGATCACCCTAACAATCGAGTATATCATACTCGATATTTTCCAGCACCGGCCATGATCGATCACTCGATCATGGTCCACCAATTTCACCAATCATTTAATCATGGTCTCCTTGACCAGATCATGATCGGGCACAGCCTCCATTTTCTGCTCGAGTATGCTCGTGTCCATCACTACGCCGATCTAGGATTAGCGCAGCTTGTTCAAGGTGTTTTTAGTCCAAGGGAGACGTAGGCAAATTGCAGAGTACATTGGAGACCCTGGGGGCAAGTCAGTTCTTTCATGTCCTCCGGCTCGGAAAGTGGTCAGTGAAGTAGTTTTTTTTACTACCAATAGTTAGTGTTTATTGGTGTCTGACCAGCTGTATTGGGGGTTCCCCGGGCAAGATAATTTAATTTAATTCGTTGGGCTGGCCCTCCTCTTTTTACCATAATTTACTTCCCGAATTGAAAAGTCCGCGCCCACCCGAGACCTCGTGAACCCCGGTGACAACTGGCTTGGTAAAAGATAAAAATAAAGATTGTATACATCATGTCAGCGCTGCGTAAAAAATATTACACAACCTTTGTGTATGATATCCTGTTGGTTTAGTTTACTGTGAAAAAGGCAAGACAACTTGTTTGCGGGCTATGCAGGGGTGTTATACTTGTAACTAGACTTGGTGAACGGATATGCCGGTGTTTTATGGCGGGCCCCTCCCCCACAGGAGATTATAAGCCCCCCCCCTCCTCTCTCCCCTTGTTCTGGTGCAAAGAAGGGGCGTATATGGGAACGTCTAGCCTAGGGAACAAAGAAGAAAACTATCTCCATGAGTCTCTTTGAAAAATACTTTGGTATGATATCATATTTTTTATCGCCTGCTCACGTGATGGGATTGGTAGACTGTATCGAGCGGATAATGCTTAAAGACTTGATAGACTATATCCCAAGCTTTCGCGACACAGGGAGAATCAACCTGCCTTTGTATGATTCTTCTGTTGTCTCACGAATACTGTCCCATATCGAGGAAGTATCTACTCGTAGATGCTGCTGGAATACCCGTGCCGGTAGTGTGTACAGTACCGTTAACACCGTACTATGGTAAAAATGCAATTCTGGGTGTGATACATTTCAACACTCTTCTTTGCACTTCAAATTACCGACCGCTTTTAGGGACACCTTGGACCACCATCATCACCGGTTGAGATACCAGAGGGAGAAAACGCGATTTGTCAGAGACCATCCCCCGACCCTTCCAAAAGATATATAAAAAGGCTCCGGTAAAGCATTGCCTCAACGGCATCTGGAAGAATCCCACCAGGGCACCCCCCGGTACCAAAGCGGCGAACGTTAAGCAACTCTCTATGATAACTATTTCTTAAAAGGGGGATTGAAGAAAGAGTTGCGAAACCTGGGGTACGTTTCCCAGGAACTCCTTCTACTAGAATTTCCTTCTCTTTTTCCTTTCCTCTCCCGCAGAGTCCGCGAGTAACTCCCAAAAGCACGATCGCCCCTTCACCCCCCCCCCCCCCACCATTTATCATGATACTACCAAGGCCAATTCAAAGAAGATGTTCCATAGGAAGTGCTGTACCTTGGTATTGCCCCGGCCCGAGCGAGCGAGCCGTGGGGCTCGGAACACTGCGATGGGTCTCAAGGAATTCGATCGGAGCTTATGCTCGCGATTCGAGTGCTCCTGTCGGTAAATTTGATTGATTCCTCCCCGACCCTGCCGTATTGGGATCGGGGTTGGCGGGTTAAGCCTTCCTATTAACTGTGCTTTTTTTCTTTCGTCTTGGGGATGTATGGTATAGTCTTGCTTGCTTGTCCCCTCTCTTGGAGACATGGAATCCCACTCGGAAGAGGTCGGCAGCGGCAGGGGTGTGATGTGGAGTTTCGGGGTTTATCATATTATTACTTTTTTTTTTTTTTGGAGTCACAAAGTTTGAAATTCATAATATATGATCGGTAGTACCCTGGCATAGAACCCCTCAATAAGACATCCGGCTTCTCGGTGATATCCGGTATCCCTGTGGGGTACAGTACCACGTACTGTACGTTATTCTCTTTCTTCTCTTCACTATGAGTTTTTGCTGAGGCATTGTAAAGCTCCACCGTTCTAATCCACTGTCGGTTACCCTGCCTGCCACCGCCAAACAGCCAGCTTAGCTTTACTCTGCCCCACGGGCGGTTGTGTCACCCTTCCGCTCCCCCGCCACCACTACATCCACCTCGCGCTCCCGAATACATCCCCGCAATTGCATTCGCGACTGAGCTTCAAAATGTCGCTCAGGGGCCCACTCCTCCTCCGCACAGCGCTTCAATTCCGCTGCCTTCCTACACCCGCCACTTCCTCTACAGTTGCAACGACTCGACACCTAGCAACCACCTCCCCGCAACCACCAAGCACAAGCACGAGCAGTAGCAGCAGTAAAAAACGCCAGCCGACAACCTTCACAGACAAGCTCAATGCGGGCCCCTCCTTCTCGGACTTTGTCACGAACGGTGCGGCACTAATCACTGATGCGGAAGAAGCGCTAGAACTCTCCTCGGCCACTGGCACCACGGGCAACAAACCCCAAGCCTTCGACGGGCACGGAAACCCAATCACCCGTCTACCTACCTGGCTCAAGACGCCAGTCCCCATAGGCGCCAACTTCGCCCGCATAAAGTCCGACCTGCGCGGCCTGGGCCTGCACACCGTCTGTGAGGAGGCGCGATGTCCAAACATCTCCACGTGCTGGGGCGGAACGGACAAGTCCTCCGCCACGGCCACCATAATGCTGATGGGCGACACCTGCACGCGCGGTTGCCGCTTCTGCTCCGTCAAGACCTCCCGCACGCCCGCGCCCCTGGACCCGCACGAGCCGGAGCACACGGCTGAAGCGCTGCGACGGTGGGGTCTCGGATACGTGGTTCTGACGTCCGTCGATCGCGACGACCTGCCGGACGGCGGGGCCGCGCATTTCGCCGAGACAGTTGCCAAGATTAAGCAGCGGGCGGGTCACATACTCGTCGAAGCGCTCACCGGCGACTTCATGGGGGATTTGGACTGTGTAAGCCGGGTTGCTAGCAGCGGGTTGGATGTGTATGCCCATAATGTGGAAACGGTGGAAGGGCTGACACCCTACGTGCGCGATCGGAGGGCCACGTTCAGGCAGAGTTTGAAAGTGCTCGAGGCTGCCAAGGGTGTTCGGGAGGGGTTGATCACAAAAACTAGTATCATGCTCGGATTGGGCGAGACGCAGGAGGAGGTCCTTGACACTTTGAGAGGTCCTTCTCTCTCGCCCTCCCTTTTAGGATCGTGGGAGTGATCGGCTAATTGATGCTAGAACTGCGAAAAATAAACGTCGACGTTGTGACGTTCGGACAGTACATGCGTCCTACCAAGCGCCACATGAAGGTCACGGAGTACATCACCCCGGAGGCCTTCGAGATGTGGAGGGCCAAGGCGCTGGATTTGGGCTTCCTCTACGTCGCTAGTGGCCCGCTGGTCCGCAGCAGCTACAAAGCTGGCGAGGCCTTCATCGAGAATGTACTAAAGAAGAGAGCGGCCGGGAGGAATGTCACCGCCCTCGAATCGGGGCGGGGAGGCGAATTGGATAAACTCTCGACAGAATGATCCAGTCGAGGGGCCGAGGTGGATGCTTGCTTAGATTTCAAACTATTTAATGTGGCATCATATTTCTTCTTTTTTTTTCCTGGTTCAATAATAGATCTCTGGGTTCGGTGCTTGTTTTTCTTCACAATTCCCTCTAAAAATATATATATAAATAAAATAAATAAAAAACAGTTTCCTGGCGTTAGGCTATGATCGATCGACGGCGCTGCGCGAGTCCATCCATCCAGTATGTATCGTCACAACCCAAGCGGGAATGACAAGTCCATTACACCATACTGTACAAAAGGAATAAAGCTCAGATAAGGTAAATAACACCACCGCCACAACCCACGGCTTTCAGCATGATATATATATCAAGGAACCTACAATATCATACTCATCCGATACCACCGCTTGCTAACTCACGCCTACCGCCATACCTACCATTCGCGCTGGAAGGTTACCGTAGGATTAGAGATGTGGAAGGTATGTGTGTGGCTGTATGATGCTCCCGTATGATACAGCTTTTCTTTCTTGACGGCACTAGTGTGGATCTCTGTGTATAGTATCAGTTCATAGGTTGAAATGGCAGAGGTTTCTGGGTGTGTCTGGGGCATGATTTTGGATGGGGGTTGAAGTCTGAGGTACCGGCATGAGCTGTCACTCGGAAATTCAATCGCTCTCTTTGAAAGCCGAAGTCAACCTCATTGCGTCCACTGATCACTGTCAAAACAATAATAGGCGATACAAACTGCATATATATACAAACATCTAAATTCAGCGCAACCACTCATTCCTGGTCCTGGAATGAAATCCACAAGCCACTCTCATTCTTGGCCCAAGAATGAAACCCATATCTCCAGAGACCCACAACACAATCCTCGGCACCAATCACCATTCCAATGCATTCCGAGAAATACTCTTTACTACCATATTTTGCTGAAATTTTGAGGTCCTCCTACGATACTGGATCTTTGAATCACTCACTTAGATTTAATTTTGTTTAAACCCTCTGACTCAGAGCCTTGCCTTCACTTCCTCAAGACTCTCCTCGACCAACCTAACAGCTTCCTCCGCCATTCCGTAACTCGCTTGATCTATCATCACCACCACCACCGTCAGCATTCACAGCCACACCCGAGGCAATTAGTGAGAATGGAACATACAACCGAACCCCCCCGCCCCATAATTGTGCACAACCCTCGCACCCCCAATAACCTCCCTCTCAACCCTGGCCCCGCCCACCCTGAGAGGCCTCAAACCCACTCCATGTCTTATAACATCCAGCCCCTCAACTCCTTCCCCCTTCCCCACCAACTCCGGACACCATTCGACCGCCCTCTTCTTAATCCTCTCAGCAGTAGCCTCATCCGGAGCAGAGCTCCAATTCCCCTTCTGATACGTCCCCCCCAGAACTGTGCCGCCGCCGGCCGCGCGAGTCATTATGTACGTCACCTCGTCCTCGCCGTCGTCTGTACCCGATACTTCGATTATGGCCGGCGCAGTGTTACGGACTAGGACTATTTGCCCACGGGCCGGAGTTAGGCTCGAGTCAGTGACGCCGCTGAGGGTGTAAGATCCCAGGCCTGTGCAATTTACAACTGCTATATCAGAACAAGAGGTGTATTCGGGGTGGAAGTTAACGGCTTCGCAGATGTGCGTTAGTGTGCCCCGGCGGAACCTCACCTGCCGTTTGAGGCACTGGGATAGTAAGTATGGGAGGTATATTGCGGGGTTAATGCACATTGACTTCCACCTCGTGCCAAAGTCGACGCTTGGCGGGAGGTCCGCTTTCGGGATTGTTCGGAACTGCTTGCATTAGCTCGTCCCACCTACTTCACGCAATGGCACAGTACCTCCGGAACTATGTTAGCAAACCAAGGCCTTTCCTTCAACAACTCGGAAAACCAATCTGCCGTAACGCTCCCCTTGTCCTTCTCCCGTCGGTAGGTTATCACATCTTGGAAGTGAATGCCGGCCTCTGGGACTTGGGTGGTCAGTCTGTAAAGCTCTGCAAAAGTGATCTGGTCCCATTCTGCTTCCCGGGTGCCCGGCGCTGATACACTATGCTGGTTCAGCGAAGGATTCAGGTAGAGGAGGGGGGGGGGGGTTGTGTCATACGGAAGGTAGCTTGCCCCCGCCCACGGAGAGGTGTACTCTATGTCGTAGTCCCCCGGCATGTGTTTTGCCACGACGGCGACGGAATGGCCGCGCTTCGAGAGGAGGAGGGCGGTCGTTAGGCCTGCTACGCCGGCACTGTTTGATATTGTTAGGGCTCAGGCAGCGCTTGAATGTTCGAGCAGACATACCCAACAACAGCAACTTTGCTTTTCTCACTCATGGTTTGCTGGGTTTGAGCAACTCGTTGATGGGGTTTTCCCAGGGAGTGGCAAGCGTGATCGGAAGAACAATAGTCTACTACTCATAGCAGAAGGGAAACCGCTACCATAGAAAACTACGGGTGCCACAAAGTACGGTACACTAGTCTACCCGAAAGTGCGGAAAACCCCGATAGCCGCGGATACCTCAGCACAGGATGGTGGTTTGGCCATCATATTACGAGGATCTTATTGTATTAATAATTTACTAATTAGTTACCCTTCTTCCCTATCCACTTCTATTTCAATGTAATGGGCATTCCAAGATCAAATCATTTCAATTGAGCTCCATCATACCGATATTCGGCTTGCTGGTTTACGCCACTGCGGGGTGTGAATCTCAGCTTGTTCGGGCAATGCTCGGTGGTAATCTGGGCGTGGTTGGGTTACCGTAACTTATTATCTGTTACCGTGTTAGCGCCAAGAGTGGTAAACCGATGCTTGATATTGGGTGAGATATCGTGACTGAGGGGGGGAGGCTAAAGAGCTTGTTTATATCATAGCAGTACATACATGCATTCATGCCTATATCCCGAACATAATCACGCACACAAGACGAACACGAAAACTCCGTTGGAAAATCTAACAGTCACAAATAAATGGATCCCAAGTGCAACGCAGTTATAGGAATGATAAAGAAAACGGAAACAGAAAAGAAAAAGAGAGAAAAGAAAAGAAAAGAAAAGCCAAAACTAGAAGCGAGTCTATCTAAATATTGTCTAAAAGGCCCTCACTCTCAAGAAGGAGGACGATCTGGTGGACAATGTTGCGGACAGTCTGCTTGCTAGCATCCACAACTAGGTCAGGCTTGATGGGATCCTCGTAAGGATCATCCACGCCAGTAAACCCCTTGATTTCGCCACTGCGGGCACGCGCGTATACCCCGCGCTTGTCCGTCTTCTCGCAGTACGCCAACGGCGTAGCGACATGTATGAGATACGCTGAACCGAACTGCTCGATGGTCTGCTTCGCCTGGACACGAGAGTCCTCGAATGGGGCGATGGGCGCGGCGATGACGGCGGCACCAGCGCGGGTCAATTCAGCTGCAACGAAGGCGATGCGCTGGATGTTCTTGTGGCGGTCTTCTCGGGAGAAGCCAAGCTCTGCCGAGAGCTCAGAACGGACGGTCTCGCCGACGAGGAGAGTGGATGAACGGCCGCCCTGCTGGTTCAATGTGACTTGTAGGGCGCGGGCGACGGCATCTTTGCCGCTGTTGGTGTACCCGGTTAGGAAGACGGTGAAGCCTTGCTTGTGACGGGGTGGGTGGGATTCCCGAAGAACTCTGACGACCTCGGGGTATGAGAACCACTCTGGGATGGGGGTTCCGGTGCGAAGGCGGCGACGGAGTTCTGTGAATGTTAGCATGTATTATTAGGTTTCCTCATGTAGCTATGAATACTAATCATACCAGTTCCGGAAATGTTCAAGGTCTTGGTTCCCGGCTTGATCTCATCGACAGGAGCGTACTCATCGGTGTCGGGGAGGTATGTCATCATCTGGAACGGAACAACCTCAATTCCTAGCTCGCTCTTGTACCTCGCAACGGCATGCTGAGCATCGTAAGGGCCGTAGAACTCAACGCCCTTGGAGTTGCTTCCGGGGCCGGCGTGGTCTCTTCCCACAATGAAGTGAGTGGCTCCATGGTTCTTACGAATAATGGCGTGCCATATGGCCTCACGAGGCCCTCCCATGCGCATAGCAAGGGGGAGAAGGCCAAGGACGGCCATGCCGTTGGGGTATCGGGGGAGGAGAGCCTGGTAGACGCGAACACGGGTGAAGTGATCAATGTCTCCCGGCTTTGTGAGACCCACAACGGGGTGGATAAGGACGTTTGCCTGGCGCGCTCTGGCTGCCCGGACAGTGAGCTCTCTGTGGGCCCTGTGCATGGGATTCCTGGTCTGGAACGCAACGATCTTAGACCATCCCAACTTTTCAAAGTGCAACCTCAATTCGGCGGGAGTGTCTGTGTCACCATATTAGCACCTTACAATAATGTCGCGCCGATCCGGATCACCAACATCTCAAGCCGACGTAGTCGTAGTGATTGAGCCTGTTAATGGCCTCAATCTTCCCACCAACATAATATTCCCGGGCAGTGTTGAACAGATAGCGGATAGCAGGGTGCTCCTCATCACTGCCCAAGACCTCCTTGGCCTCCTTTTGCCTATTTGCTTGTCAGAACTGGTTCACTCACAAGATCTCACTCTCAACCTACTTGTCAGGCTTGTAGACGTCGTCGACAGTAATGATGGCCAAGTGGCGGTCATCACGGAAATCACGGAGCGTGATTCTCGCACCAACCTCGACACCCAATTCCTCGATCTGAGCCTTGGAAACATCCAAAGTGATAGGCATGGAGAAGAGTGTTCCATCCACGAGACGAAGATTCCCAACAACTCTGTCTCAACGTTAATACTCACTCACTAATTCACCCCTAGATCCCGGAAGATGCTTTTGACAAACCCATTGTAATCCTTCTCGTTCATAAACCCTATTCACACAAGTCAGGACACGCACTTCGGGAGACAAACAGAGAAGCAATTACGACTAACCCTCCAAAGGAGAGAATCCGCCACTCAGAATCAGCTCCAAATCACAAAGTTGACGCTCGGTAAGAATCAAAGCTGGAAGAGTCTCAGACTCAGCGAGGAGTTCAGCGTGTCTAGGAAGGTCCCTAGCAATCAAGTCCTTGAGGACACCCCCATGGGGTTGCGGCAAATCCGACATTCTGGCGATAAGGGAAGAGTAATTAACGGATCAGAGTAGAAACCAAAGATAATATGCCCTGACAACTGGGGTGTGGGAACGGTGGACAGGAGTATTCGCAGGGAAAGGGACACGCCCTTTAAGTTCATGTTTCCATAAAATTAAAAAAAAATTCACCAAGAAACAACTCCCTTCAAATGACGTGATTTTGCTCCCGAATTGCAAACTATCCCAGCTCGCCCCTCCGACCGCCTTGGCTTCCGAAGCCGCACTGCCAGCGATAAGCCATTATTCACCCAGGATATAAGTTAATGAGAGAGGGTCTCATTTTTTTTACGTATTATAGCGGGGTGAATAGCGGGGTGCGGACCGGGGATCGTTTTCCCCAATTTTTTCACTTTGTTAGGGATTGGGGTTGGGTTAACTTGGTTTGGAGGGGCAATATTAGTGGGGCTGTGCGGGGCACAAAACCTGATAGGGGTTGAGAAAGCCTCGTTCCTTCTTCCACTTCCCCTTTATCTGTTCCTGGAAAGAAAGTGAGCGCAGATACCGGTGGTGTAATACTGTATCTCTTGGCGTTGTGTGGGGATCTCATCTGGTTTCCGCAAAAACAACCCTGCTCGGCATCATCGCTGTTCATCGGTGGTGTTCTATTATGGCTGATACGGCATTTCAAGCTAGGTCTTTGGTATTCCTCTACCTCTGCTTCCCCCTTTCACTCCCTTCTATGCCTCCCACTAACTAACAGAGGGCATGATGCACCCAGTACCGCAATCTTCTCCGCTTCTCCGATCGTTTTTCCTCATACAACTTCCGTGAGTACGCGAGGCGAAGGACTAGGGATGTCTTCCGGGAACACAAGAACGTTGAGGATCCGAGGAAAATCCAGGAGCTTATGCAGAAGGGATTGAAGGAGCTTCAGGTGTTAAAGGTCCGTCCAACCACTGTCGGTTGATGGCGATGGCGCCACTAGAGTGGGCGTGCACCGGTAGTCGGTTTGCTGATTAGGGCTCGGGGTATCTAGAGACAGACCATGATTAGCCAGTTCTTCCAGATGGATAGATTGGTCGTCGAGGGCGGTGCTTTGGTATTTCCCCTTGTATGAGGCGTAAAGTCTGATCAGAGCTGACTATTGGACACGGAAAATAGAAGGGTAGAAGGGGAGGCATTGTGCGACAAAAGGAGCTTGGGTGAGATCTCTCTCTACACTACTTTTGCGGAGCTTTGCTAATGACCATCGAATCGAAGTAGATGAACCTAAACTTCCGCCCTTTCTTTCTTCCTTTTTTTTTCTTTCTTTTTTTCACTTTGCTTCACCTCTTGTTCATAGATGAGATTCGCTAGTCTGGTTAATTCCGCAGCATCACTCGTACTGGTCATCGACAGCCTAGATTCTTGCAAGGGGTGGACCGTATGGCCAGTTTATCTATAATCTCTCCACTCGTTACCTCCCAGGTGTCCAGCACCGCGTTATCTCGAAAGTGGCGAGCAAGGCTAGGCCGAAGTTGTAGGCTAAGTTTGAGAGATAAGTAGAGCTTTGCCCCGAATACCCCCTCTGCACTTGACTTTTTGTGCACCATTGCATGCAAGGATTGAAATCCACCGCTCATACATGCCTCATGCTTCTTGTCACCTCTAGCCTAGCCTTATCATGATTTTCTGAGTAGCACAGTGCTCGAGTGATCCCATCCTGAGTCCTGACTCTACCACCGCCAGAGTGAGTGCAGTCTATTGTGAAACGCCGAGATTATTGGCGTCATTGGGCATTGTCGGCAGGGTAACGGTAATTATGTATGATAATAATAATATTATTATTATGATATACCGGCACTTCACTTGTGCTCGTACTATAACTCATGCTTGGCCAGCAAATGTCGCCATTGCTGGAAGGATCGCGACAAGCTCAACCACTTTGGAGATGACATTGTGATAGCAGAGAGAATTCTCGAACTTGTGAGATGATTTGTTTGTCAGCCCTTGACTTCGAGACTCACAGCATTACTAAGTAATCAACTTGTATGATATGATAGGTTATCATACTTTATTGGCTTAAGTTACCCCGATCCAGCCAGCGCCAAGCCTTGTCCCTTGGTTGCTCAGCGTCCCCTTTTCCACACATTTCCACACACCACCGACTTCTATCATACCCACATCCATCGCAACAAACCAGAGGCCAAACCCACCAAAAAAACACGTCAGCAAAACCCGAGGGCACCAACCTCCCAAGAGGGCCAGCCAAAACAACACAAGAGTCAGGCTGCCAAAAACCATCTTCATCTCAGCCTATCACCCTCAGCACGAAAGAACGCGAACGCGTGATTCGTGCGTGAGAGAAGAAAGGAAAAATGCCAGCACGCATCTCCTTTGTGAGCCCTCTCCCCCTCACCCTTCATTTTCCTTTCTTTGCTGTTACAGCATCAAACGCTGCTTCTCTGCTGCCATGAAGAAAGAACCCTCCACGACGGCGACGGCAACTAACACATCACAGTACCGGCCAAACGGCCAATCCCGCCGCCAAGCACGCTCCGCACACGACCACGACGTCTTTGAGGGGCTGCCAGTCCGCCGGTGGTCCCGACAATGGGTTCACGTCGGTAAATCTGCACCCCTGCCCCCTCCCGAACCAGAGCTCCCCCTACCAAAAGAAACCCACCTCCTTCCGCCCATGTCACAGGCACTCCTCCAAGCTGCGAGATCGAGTTCGCAGGGCAAACCCGCCGCCAAACCAGCCCACATCCCGGGACAACAACTCTTCCAGACAAAACGCTGGATGCAGACCCCGCGTCACTTGGAACCCCCTGAGCCCGTGTACCTTGCCAAGCCGCTCGGTGGGAAGCGCAAGAGGACGGAAGTCGAGCCCCCACCACCACCCGTTGTCGCGCCCGTTAGACGTCGTGTCCCGCCCCCGAAGAGGAAGGCGAAACCTCGGGGTAGAAGGCCAGGTTATCGGAAGACCGTGACCTTTGCTGCTGAGGGAAATACCGAAGGCGCTCCCGAAACTGGGGCGATCACAATTGACCCCGCGCCGGTTGTAGAAGCGCCACCGGTCCCTCCAGTTACTACCGTTGAAGTCCAGGAAGTTGTTCAGATCGCAGCGCCGACGGCGCTGGCTCTGGAGAAAAAGAAGGGACCCAAGGGAAAGAAAAAGGGACTAGGCAAGAAAAAGGACGCTTCCGGGAAGAAGCTGAAAAAGCCGAAGGGTATCGTCGGCATAAGCACTCCTGGGAAGGGAAAAAAAAAGGTTAAAGTTGTGGCAACACCTACAGCCTCAGCTCCAGTAACCGCGACCACCAACGATGGTGATGGTGATACCTCCATGGGTGGTACCGAGGCTCCCGCAATCGAACATGTCACCCCTGCCAATGCGATTCTGAACGACCAGAACTCGACTCCCAAATTTTGACGGATGTGACAGCACTACTCGACTCAACGGTGGGGGGGAGGGGGCGGTTCACTTTTTTTTCTTTCACTTTCTTCCTCCTTGTACTATATGTTACTTGCCGAGTTTTTTTTTTTTTTTTTTTTTTTAGATCGATTAAACGATTGGGTTAATTGGATCGATACCTCTATGTGTGATGTTTGAGTTGTGATTTTAATTTTTTTACCAATTTACCGCACCCGTTGCTTGAGCACCGTACCGTACCATATCCTAGCAAAGGCAGTATCGATACCACAACGACCGGCAACGGCGATAGGCGACACCGAGGCACAGTACTGTACAGTACGGTATCGTACTCGATGTTGAACCCGTCGCGCCCGGCCACCAAACTGATAACCGGAATACCGTTAAATCTTCCAAAACCCACCATCACAACACAGCGAACAGAAACACCAGTTCCTGTAAATGGTCCAACAACGCCCGGGCTGATCTCATCTCAATCCTGTTACTACTTGTCCCTGAATCCGGTGACTATAGGTTGGTTTCGAGAGAACTTTTTTTTTTTTTTTTTTTTCTTTGCAAGTTGCCCACCTCTTTACATATTTATCCTCTTTCTTCTTGAATTGGCCGAAGCGAATTTGATCGGATTGGTTGGGTTTTGTCAGATATCGTGTGAGTGAGTGATTCAAGTTGTGTTATGGTTAAGGTAAACGTTTAAGGGTAGGGGGGTTTTGATCTTCAGGTCGATGGATTGCGAAGTTGTGTTGAGAAGGGTACTGTATTCTGCGATCGGATGAACGAGTCTATTGCCGCAGGAGAGGAATAGAGTAGTTTGTGTGTAAAAAGTACATGAATCAACTAATATAAAATAAAGGAAGAAACCAAACGTATCCCTATAGCATCATCCCACAAGTTTCCTGGCGATGACATGACATGATAAAAAGCCAATATTTTAACCACAGCTACCATCACTGCACCCACCAGAGCTTCTAATGCTATCCACCGTGCCGAGCTTCCTCCCAGAGCCAGAACCGGGCGGGCCAGGAGGAGGTGGGGGTCCACCCGGACGCCCAGCTCCGCCGAAGCCGCCATAACCAGGCTTCTTCTGTTGGCCCTTGGGCTTTCCGTAATTCGCGAACATGGAGTTTTCGGCGGCGGTGATGGCATCAAACTAATGTGCCATCCACATCAGCCTCCAAAAAAAGCCAAAGAAACAGAGCACAGAGAGAGAGATCACCCACAGAAAACAAAGAGGTAAGATACAACCCCAGAAAGACAATAACAACCCTGAGCACACCCCTAGCCCGCGCTCCGATCGGCAAGCTATCAACAACCCGCCCGTCGAGGACGTACTTGACCGCCTCTCCCGCCGCCAAAAACACCCCTCCGCCACCTCCTCCTCCAAGTGGTGGAACCACAACCGCCGGATCGCCCCCCAACTTATGCCCCTTTCCAAACCCCCCTCCAGCGGCTCCAGCCCACTTCTCAACAGCCCCCATTAAAGCACCGCGATCAGCACCCGTGATGCGATCGACCTCGCTGCCGCGCTGCAGAACCACGAACGTCGGCATCGCGCGGACCGAGTGGGCACGTGCGATGTCGGAGCAGGCGTCCACGTCGCATTTGGCGAAGGCTAGGCTGGGCGTCTTCGAGTGCTTGGTGGCGAGGGCCTCGAAGATTGGGGATATGGCTCTGCAAGGGCCGCACCAGGTTGCGGTGACTGGGTCGTCCTTGTTAGTTGGTTGAGTTGACTATCAAGTAGGATAAGAGGGGGTGGGTACAGTCTATGATTACGATGGTATTTTTGGAGATTATGGTGGAGAGCTGTGAAGCTGAGGAGATTGATTGGACGGCTGACATTTTTTTTTTCCTCCTTTTTCTTCTTCTCGATTTAGCAAGGTTCGGTGGTAGTGGTACGGTAGTAGTGAAGATTTCGAGAGGTGGTGAGGTGAAGTGAGGTGGTTGAGTTAGTCTAAGTGGCCTCACTGGACTGATTGGTAACAGGTCAATAGCGGGCGACATTTTGACCACTACCGTACCCTGGTGCCGGGACAGGAAATACGCCAGGATAGGAAATACTATGATACTGTTGAGACAATGCACTAATTCCACAGCGTATCCCTGACCATGAGGGGTTTTCCATCCCAGATTTCCCTTATCACTTTTAATCCACCCTTTAACCACTTTTTTTTTCAAAAAAAAAAAAAAAAAGTGGGAATCGTATCATACCCCACTACCGGTAGAGGATGGCACGATGCCAATGGGGAATGATACATGCCGACACTTTTCGAGATGTTGACTGCAAGTGAGATCTCCAGAGCACCCATCCTTAGATTCTACACGGTATGATATCATATGATATCATACCATACCCAAGTGAAGTCAAAGCATAAGTTATTACTCCGACGTTAACTCCCACGATAAATCTGTCGTTCCATCACTCCTGTAGACTGCACACTGTCACTATAGTACGTATCCTTTATACACAGCCGGAGCTCCTCGTTAATGCTCCCCTTCGTCATTGAGAACGTCTCCCCGACATTACAGACAAAATAGGTCTCGTCTTCCATTCACTCAGTCGATGAGAACGTGTGATGTTGAAGAAAGCAAAGCACAAGTACCATGTATATTTCAAGCTTCCTGTCAAATATCCAGGAAATTCACCTCCGAACTGTATGATACTAGTACTGTACACACACAAACAAATGCTCTCGTCAAGCTTTAAAAACAAAATATATCCGACAATATATCAGACCCATTCCATCCCTCAAAAAAAAAAAAAAACCCCCCTATAACAATAGTCGGAACATCACGTATGCAAGCAAGCCAAATTCCAATCAACAAAGCGTGTTTCATTTATTTATTCAAACACTTTGCAGTGTAAACTCGCTCCTGGCGTCAGTTCTCTCCGCCCTCTCCATCGGTCAACGCGAGCGGAAGCACCATGTTCAAACCAATGTAACTATAGTACCCACAGCAGAATACCCTAACTCATAGAGCGACCCCTTCCTACACGAGTAGAGCGTAACTAGCGAGCGATCGAAATAGGCTTAACCAAACCAGCCCCACCATACCAGGATCACAAAGCTGAGTTCTATATATATCATGATATATAGACTGTACGAGTATCATACCGGTACCGGTACTAAGGCATGATAACTAACCGGCCGTCTACTAGCGTTTCAGACCCCACCCAACTCACGCCTTTCCACGGTGAGTAGAATTTAACTTTATGATCCGAGCTGACGCAGGGCAGGCACGCCCTGCGGTATACCAGTACTGTAAATACCCTGTAGTCGATCTCAGGCATGATACGTGATCACTGTCGATCACTCGTCCTCCATGGTTATCATCAATGTTTTTTTTTTTTTTTTTTTGGACGGTGTGGGGAGGGGCTGATTCCTTGAAAGTTTGAGGTTAGGGAAATCAGCACTGAAGAGTATTGGAGAGTTATGGTATGATAAATAAAGGGGTAGCCCTCCTAATCCTAAGACCACCTATGAATCGTTCTACTAAAATTTATCATACCGGTATGATACCTCACAACATGGCCCCGGCGAACCGTCCTTCGCAGGAGAGTTGAGCTGGGGGTTCGATCTGCAGGATTCCCTCAGCTGGCGTTACCGTATCCGGCTCCAGGGCTCCACAGCCTGTGACACCGCACGAGCGCTGGAAGGGACCTACCAGCTGTGATTACTCGAGTACTGGTATGGATCACAGACAGCCTGGGATGCTTGCGCATATGTACTAGTACGAACAATATTGCCGGCAATGAGCGGTTAACCGAGTCACGTGATAAGGGTTCCTAGAACACGGCAATGTCGTAATTATGCTGGGGGAAAATATAATTCGGAATGTCACAATCCGGCAAAATCTAAGGGGGAGAAGGAAATTTTTTTTTTTGACAAATCTCATTTTTCTAAACCCAGAAAACGCAATAGCCAAACAATACAATACAATACAATACCAATCACTAGCAAATTCAACACAATTATTGCATATAGCATGAAATGCGTATATACACCGCGCGCCGTCCTCAAAGCAAACCACTCCATGAAATAGAAAATTACAGTTTGGATTCAAGAAGAGAGGCCCCATGAAAGCAGGGGAGATGGAATGGAGTAGGATAACAGGTTCGAAATTTTTGGTAGAAAGATGGATATCTGATATCTCGCGGAGATTATGGCTAATAGGTAGGAGGAGAAAAGTATAACAGTGATAAAAAGAGAAGAGAAGAGAGAAGCTAAAGTAAAGGTTAATAAGAAGGTATCTAATTGGGAAGATAAAAAAAAAGTAATGAAAGGAAGAAACTAGAGATTCTCCACTCAACACCAAGAGGAAAAAATGAAAAAAATGAAAAAAAATTTGAAATGAAATGTAAGAATTTAATCCCAATCGAAGAGCAAACAAAAGACTCTCACGGAAATAGAAAGGAAAAATAAAATAAAAAACGAGACCCCAAATAGTTTAATTCTCTCACCCCAATTCGACAACCGTTAACCACCCCGCGCAATCATTAGTTCCAGCCAGGGAGTATATACTCGTGAAAAAAGGGAATGCAAAAAAGGAACAAAACGTCATTATATCACACCACCCGCTATCACTGGCTGCTGCTGAGCTTGCAAGTGATTCAGCTGCTGCTGAGACCTTGAAACCGGACTCCTCGCCTCATCTCCTCTGCTGTCGCTCCTCTTTGCGGCATCGCTCTCCTCTTGCTGCAACTTTTGTCGCCAGATGGCAAGACTGTTCGACAGTTCCCCACCTTCGGTGGAAGTGGGCGTCTTCTCAAAGTCGAAGGTGCTGCTGAGCCTGTAGTTCTTGTTGGTGTTCTCCCAACGGGTGCGGAGAGCATCTAATTCCGTAGCGAATAAATCTAAGGCAACGCTGTTTCTTGCGTCGGGTCCGGCTCCATAAAAGCTGCTTCTGGCAGACCCCGTTTCAATGGATCCATTGGCGCCTTCCAAGCGTGTGCTACGACGGTAGGCGTCCACTGAATCTTCCACACGATCGAGCAGAAAGGAGACCCTCTCCTCCGCGTCCTGGGCTCGCCGTTCCAGCTGGTTGTTTTCAATCTCGAGCTTCTCAACAATTTGCCTCGTTTCGCCGAGTTGCTGGGAGACGTCCATGAGCTGGAGTTGGAGTTGGTTGTGGCCGATCCTGAACTGGTCACGCTCTTCTCGGAGGGTGTCGAGGGTTTCCTTGGATTCACGGATTTGCTTGTCGAGGGCGGTGGCGGATTCTCTGACCTTTGTTCGGAGATCGTCGATCTCCTTCTTGAGCGAAGCTCGTTCGCTCTCCCAGCTCTCGGCTCCGATATCGGAAATAGATCCCTGTCTCGAGCGTTCGCTGTTCTTTCTCTGGGCCTCTTCGAGCTCGAGGTGGAGTCTGGCATTCTGAGACTTGTTTTTGGCAAGCTCATCCTTCATACGCTTCAGGAGTTTCTCGGTGCCTTTGACGTAGTGTACGGCAGACTGATAATCATTTTCGAGTTGTTCAAGCTTCTCACGGAAGTGCTTCTCGACCTCTTGTGCCTGCATCTCCGCCGTCGACTTGGTCTCGCGATGGGCACGGAGACTCTCCTCTAGACGAGTCTCGAGCTCACGAAGACGGTTGATCTGCTCGGGTGTCGCGGTTCCGGAAGGACTGGGGCTTTGAAGGCTGTGGGAACGACGCTTGTCATAGCCGGCCATACTCGAGCGCTCGGCAAGGATTTCCTTGAGAGCGTTGTGTTTGGTCGTAATGGAGTCGACCTCCAGCTGGCGGTCAAGTAGACGAGCGCTGCTCTCCGCATTTTCTTGTTTTAGTCGTCGAACTTCGTCGAGAACTTCTGCCATCCGTCTGCGAAGAGCAATTGCGTCTTTGCTGGCCTGGCCTTGTTGGAACTCCAAACCCGCAACTCTCTGCATCGCTTGTGCGAGATTTTCGCCTGTCTCATCGGCTTGAGTTTTACTCTTCGCAAGTAGGCTATTGGCAGATGCGACTTGCTCTTGGAGAACTCTAACACGTTCATCGGCCGCACCAGTACCGCCCATGATTTCCCTCTCGGACACCTTCTGAAGCCCGGCAGCCATTGCTGCACTTGCAGCTCTGGCCTCTTCAGCATACTTCTCCAAAAGCTCCTCCGTGTCTCTTAGCCGTGTATTGGCGCTTGTGAGATCCGCAACCTTTTCCTCATACTCGCTCTTGACCTGAGCTAGCTTTCTCTCCAAACCCTCTTTGACCATTCGCTCCTCCTCAAGTTGTCTTGCCAGTGTGGTGCTCCTCTCACTGCTCGCCTCCATAGCTTTCCTCAATTCGCCCATTAAACCTTGGTAACCACTGTTGTCCTCCAAGGCTTCTTTAAGCTTCATTGAAAGTTCTTCCTGGTCAATTCTTAAAAGCTTGGCCTCTGCGGTAGCCTCAGTGCGCGAAGTGGCTTCATCTCTAAAAGCTCGCTCAGCACCAAGTAGCTCTGCCCGAAGGCTCTCCATCTCTGATGCTGCGCGGTTTCTAAAATCATCCAATTCGGTCACACGGCTCTGTGCAACAGCTGCAGTCTCGTCGGCGAGATGGCGGGCCTTTCTCTCCGCAGTGATCTCGGCAGCTAAAACTTCAACTTTGGCGCTCAGTTCCGCCTGAGCTGCTAGTGATGACGCGAGTTTCCGGCTCATATCGGCCATCTTTTCAGCATCCATGTTGGCAATGTCTACCGCAGATTTGTCGCCAGTAGGCGTAGCGTTGTTGCCACCTAAGGCTGCCAACTTTGCTTTCGCATAAACTGCCTCCTGAACAGCGACATCTCGCTGGCGTTCTATGTCCTGGATACGTTTGGCAGCCAAACCGGCTTGAGTATCCACCGAACCCTGTACCCTAGAAAGCTCGCCCTTAAGCACTAGCATAGCTTCAATGAAAGGTCTGTCATCTTCTGCTAATGATTCATTTGCTCGTTCGTCTAGGATGGCGCTTCCATTCGTCTGAGGTGTGTATCCCGCCCTTCTAGCGAGTGCAAGCTCTGAGGAATACCAATCGTTTTGGTGTTTGAGTCGCTCCATTTCTTGACCCGAGGTGGAGCCCTTTTTCTCTAGCGCCTTCGTAGGCGGGTCGCCGCTCTCTGTCACGGCGGGTACGCCCCCGGGGGCTGATGTGCCGGATGGGTTATGAGGGCTCATAACCGCTGAGTTACCATTGGCAAGATTGTTCAGTTGAGAGCTCGGATATTGATTGGGGGCTGGTGATGATGGGGAGCGATCTTTATCAGTGTTCTGCTGTTGCTGCCCTTGTGGGCCCTGAGGCTGGCCCGTCGGCGCCTGCTGTCGAGATCTCGATCTCTCCTGCGGAGCTGGTGCAGTACCTGAGACAACATCTGTAGACCCCTTCCGTTGTTGCGCTGTAGGAGTTCTTCCATTAACTGCACCAGCAGAGCCATCGCGGGGTTGAGGTTGTATGGAGGAAGCGTTGTCCTTGGGCTTGTTATTATTGATATTCATAGATAAACCCGATGATCCAGTGGGGGTCCTACTTCGTGGACCCGGAGGGACGCCGTTTGCCTTTGGTGCTGGAGCCTGTTGAGTCGGCGGGGGTCCCACGGGGGCCTGCGATATGGATGCCCGTGGTAACCGGGAGTTTACGCTGCTGCCAGAGGTATTATTACTTGCAAGTGGCGTTGATCCGGTTGAGCCGGGCGATCCAGAAGTTGTAACACTCTCCCTTGGGCCTTGTTTCGCGCCCCGACTTCTCGGGTCGCCCGGACCGGGTCCTGGTCCATCTACCGATCCATTCCTTAGCCCCTGAATTCTCTTATCAGTGGGCGCATGATTCCTATCTGTAGGGCTTCCTTGTTGGTGGTCGGTAGGATATCTTATTTTCGCTGTGTCGAGAACATAGATGAACTGAAGCTCCTCCTGGTTTCTTGAAGGCATACTAGGCTCTCCACCAAGCACAATAATTTTTTGTCCACAAGTTGTCATGGAATGCCCCGAGCGCCGCGATGGTGATGGCCCCATGTTCTGGAAGGTGTACCATCTCCGTGAAGAAATCCTGAATGCTGCCAAATCGCCTAGGTCCTCCCCCTCCGATGTCCGACCGCCAAAAATATACATCACGTCTCCCACAAGCGCTGCTGCATGTCCTTCTCGGGGTGAAGGAATGTAGCCAATACAGTCGAGCTGACTCCATGAATTGGATCGGGGGTCGTAGGACCAAACGTCATTAAACCATGCTAAACCATTTGTTCCCCCAAACCTAGCTCATGGTCAGCTTGAATCAAACATCGACAAAAGGAGACGCATACAAGTAGAGTTTATCTGCCCAGGTAACAATCGTGTGGTTCGTTCGGCTTGCCGGCATATCAGCTCCTGCTTCCCTGGCTGGCACTAGAACTTCCCATCCAGATCCGGCGCTCTGCAATGTGTTCAGATCGAAGGCGACTAGGTCGTTGAAGAAGAATCCATCGACTTGACCCCCGAAGATGTACAACTTTGAGCCCAGTATATTTAGGGTATGACCATATCTTCCCGCGGGCCTTGGGCCATTTGGGTTCGCACGAGACCATTGGCGAGTTGCTACGATTTAATCAGTCGACGACGTAGGTAGTAAGAACTGGGGTCATCGCATACAGGTATTTAATAGATAGAGAGTCTCATCAAGAACATCTTGCGGATCCAATTTTGTGTCGCCCCCAAATACTAAGATTACCCAAGACTTGTCAGTAAGTTCAATTCGTGCAATTCCTCGGCAAATGACACGACCGAAAGAGAACGAACCGATAAATGCATTTCCTACTAATAAACTGGCATGACCGACACGGGGCCCTGGGCCTTCACTTGTGGTCATTACGGGGTACGCAGCTAGCTGAGTCCCACCTCCTTCTATCATCCATAAATCCCCACGCACAGTCTGCGAGCGAATCAGACCCCCCATAATATATATATCACCATCCTTCCCGGCAACACCGTTAGCTGCATGACCGTAGCGTGGAAACGGTGACGGATGCGATGATGAGAGTGTTAATCGCCGTTGCGACCATGGATATAGAGCGACGTTTGCAGGGTTTACTCCCGAAGGCGATTGCTGTTATTTCCAAATATTAGTTCATGCGCAATCTTTGGAATGTTTCGGTGGGTATTGAGAGGGAAGGGGAGGGGAGACCACCCGTACTTGAGATGACTGAACGTTCTGCTGAGGGCCCGGCGCCTGATTTTCTAAAGGGCCCGGTTGTAAGGCTTGTTGAAGTCTTGGAGGACCTCCCGGAGCCCCGACCGGACGTTGGTCTGGACTCGACGTCGCGCCGATACTCCCGGCAAGGCTATTGAGAGAGTTATTGACGGAGCTTGAGGGTGTTGGACCGCCAGGACCACCCGGGGCACCGTTGCCGAGAGCACCGGGCGCAGTAGGAGGTATCGGACCGTTAGGAGTTCCTTCTCGATGACCGTGTGCACCCTTTTTCTTTCCGAACAGAAAAGCCATGATCTAAAATGTTTCGTTAAAGCTTTGTTACTATTGTTGTTGTGGTTGGTGCTGGTACAGCTCCTGCTACCTACCTCTGCTATCCAAGGCCCGCTGGCTGGCTGACTGTTGGAGACACAGGTCGCAGAGTTATCGTATCGCAGGGGGGGCGTATGGGAAGGGAAAGAAGGTAGGGTATTGTATGGTTAGAAAAAAGGTTAAGGGGATGGATGGGGTCGGTCACGCTCCTTGGTCTATCGGAGCTTAATTCGTTTGTGGGGGGAACACACGGATGGGTGAAGCGCAGTTGCAACAGAAAACAAACCCAAACCCTTCGAAGTAGAAACGAACGAACGAACGAGAAAGCACAAGTTTCTTTTCAGATTCCCTTTCTTCGTAAATGACGTGAAAGGTGCCACAGGAGGGTGCGGGTGTGTGGGCGAGCGAGCGGATAAAACGAATGGCTCCAAGCGCAATAAATCAAATCAATCAGTAAGACGGTCTTGAGGCGTTGCCCTGGTTGCGGTGTGTAGTGGTGAGCGTATCGTGAACCCGTTTTAGCCAGGCCAGGTGGTGGGTAGCTGAGTGGAAGGACAAGGGAAAGGAGAGGGAAGGAAGAAATTAAGCGTAACCGTAGTTTGTTTGTATCGTGAAAAGGAAAAGGAAAGGAAGAGGAAGAGGAAGAGGGAAGGAGAAGAAAAAAAAGGTTTGAAACGCAAGGACAAGAAAGTTGAGCCCCTAAGTACGGCAAGCCAGTAACTTAGATTGACTTCCCTCCGCTTGGTGGCAGCAGGGGGGGGGGGTATGAATAAGATAGAGGAAGCTTAAAAAAAGGTAAAAAAAGAAAGGAAGATCAGGGCACACGAACACAGAGACGAGAAGATGCTTTGGGCGCATGTAAGCTAGGGCGAAATGGGGTAAATAAATAAAAAATGCAAATGTAAATGCAATGTAACACTTCCCCTTCTACGATTCTGTTACTGTGGGCTTGGATTACGGTACCGCACGGCACCTCTCAAAGGGGGGAGGTAGTGAGGTGAAGTGAAGTGAAGGGGGGGGATTAGAAGGGAAGGGAGAGGGGGAGGCTCGTCCTGCCGGTGGTACAAAAGGACAGGGAAAGCCCCGGCACTTTATAATAATATTATCTAGCGGGCTAAATAAAAACGAGAAGGAAGGAAGGAGGAAAGAAGGGAGGAGAGAAGGAGAGAGATATCAGAGCAACCCACAGATTATGCTGTATGATACCGGTGTTATGACACTGTAAATAGGAGGGGAAGAAGGAACTATGATGTAGAAAGCAGCTATGTTAGGGCGAAGGGAATCGGTTAGTTAGGTAGGGTACCATGGTTGCGAAAGGGAAAGGGATGGTTTGTTGGTTGGCTAGATTGGAACTGTTTTGGAAACACTGGTTCGGTTGCTTGCCTCCCTCCCTTCCCAATGGTGGTTGCGAGGTACAATGGGTACCGGTACAAGTACGATGGGTCACTCGCCGTCAGAGCGATGCTATGGCAACGGTGGGTTGTGCGGTGTAGCTATACCCTACCGGTATTGGCATGTAAGAGAGAGATGGCATTAGGGTGAATGAATGAATGGATGGACGGGATTGAGATGGGGGAGGGATATTGGTTTACTTTGGTTTACGAGTACTTTGGTTTGAAGTTTCCGGGGGTACCGAAGAGTTCGTTCTTGGAATCGAATTGAAGTGAAGTAAGTGGAGTACTGTACAGTACCGGGATCGTGAATCCACTTCAAGACAGCAAGTTTGCGGGACGCAGGTCGTGGCCGCCCCGACCATGATTTTGCAAATCCCTCTTCCGTTACCTTCGGGGGAGAAGAGAGGGTTCGGGGCCACATTACTTAAATTCCATCCGCTCCGCCGTCACATTAATAATGTTAGTCCTCTGAGTGTCAAAATCTATATTCGGGGCGGTAGGGGCTCTGGGGAAGGGGGGCTTTTTGTTTGTCATGTTATTGTCCTGTCTTGTTTACTTTGCCAGGCCCACACTTTCGCACCCGCCAGTCAGCCAGCCATCTACCGGTACGGAAGGACCATAGGGAAGGGGGTGGTGGGTGAGTGGGCATGCTGAAGGAGGGGTATGATACTGTATGATATTGTATTGGTACCGGTATGAGTGTGCGGCCGGGAGCTGTACCGCACCCACGATACCCACAAAACGAAGCTCTCTGTGGCGGAACGTTGAGATGAAAAAAGCAAAAAATGTCACCGCCACCGCCTCTTGAGCCATGACTTTGCTGCGGTATCATACCGGCATCGTAGTGTTTCGGTGGGTGGGGATGGAATGGAAGTCTCTGTTGTGATTAGGGCTGGTGTGGTGGGGCTTGGGTATCCCCATGCTCGGTGATATTATTTCTAAACGGAAGCCGATTGGAATTCGGCCGCTCGGGTCCCACGGTGCTGTATCCCAGCTACAGCAGCTCTAGCAGCTGGCAGTAATGCTGGAGAAGGATTAAAAAAAAAAAAGTGAGAGAGAGAGAGAAAACTAAGGGGGAACTGTGGCGAACCAGAAGTTGTGATTGCTGCTGAAGCTTCAGCGTCAGCTCTCACATCAAGGTGAAAGCCAAACATAGTACAGTACGGTAGGGTACAAGCACTAGGGATATTCGAGGTTGAAAAAAAGCTTCGGTATGGGAGTAGAAACGAGTTGATACCTGAACCTGCATTAGTGTACTGTCCCGGCACTACATATATGCCTTCATACCTTTTACCTCCTGACTAGAAACATGTATAGTTTAGTTGCTATCAAGATTGTACCTGTTCACAAAATTCAATACTCTTTATGTATTCTGTTACTGAAAACTCACATTTACTGGAGTTATAATTATTATGATAGTAGGTGAACTGTTTCCTGATGTGCCAAGCTTACATGGGACAGTGAAGTATAATATCATACGCCAAGTTTTTTTTCTTTTCACTTTTTCAACTTTGAATACCCCTACTGCTGTGCTGTGTCAGTGCTGTATGATAATTTACCCTACAAGTTGTGGTACTGCACACTCCCGATAGGTTAGACTGTATGTGCTCTATAGCACAACAGCCACATCACGAGGGTAGCTTTCCATATGCGGGTTTCCGAGAGGTACACATAGAATACCAGGCTGCAATACTCGTAAATGAATGGTTACCGCAAATAAATATGTCAATCTGGGCAGTGCGGGGCGGGTTTCTTTAATATCCATGGGTCGGTCAGACAGGCTGACGGCGATATACAGTACGGTACATCCGTCTTAAGCGCCCTCCCAACTTGTGGCACAATGCGATGTGCGCAATTGCGAAAGGTGAAATGAAGATTATCGACAACTCTCAGAGGGGGGGCGAGGCAGGCTTGGGAAGGTACAAGTACAAGTATCATAGCTATTGAGTGCCATACCCGTGCGCTGACATGCAGCAGCCCTCAACCTTCATCTCTATGGTAATTTACCTACCTGTGCAAGTACTGCATGCACCATGAGTAAGCTTTTACAGTAACCACTCTACCTCCCACGAATACCTGAAACCGCCCATGGCATCGATTGATCAATGCGCTCGGTACTTGACTTATCATGACACACATCGTATACCGGTGCTACAGTACCGGTATATCAGTTCGCAATACCACCATTACCATACGAGTATTATCATCATCATTGTCATTCACCGTTATTAACCCACCGGCTAGGAGATACAAAAACGGGCAAGCTTTCCAGAACAGAGGGGGAGGGGGAAAAAAAAAGAAGCATATGACGGGCGGGTGCGGAGGCGAGATTTTGGGTCCGTATCGTATCGTACCGTACTGTACGAACGCTGCGCGAGCACAAGTACCGGTATCGTATCGTAATCATTGGCCGAATGTAGGTTGAGGCTCATGGGAGGGGGGGAGGGTGGATGGATGGTCAAATGATCGGTTATCATCGCTGCCAACACATCAAGGTCAATACCGGTATCACCATCGAAGAAAGAGGGAGAGGGAGAGAGGGAGAGGGAATACGAGTGAGGAGAGGAGGAGGAGGAGGAGAGTGGTTGCCTTGGGTATGATATAGGTGAATGGAGGCTAATAACCCGGCGCATTGGGGTAATCTGGGTTTACCGTGCATAATAAATATTATGTCGAAGGAATCGGTTCACGTGGAGGGAACGGTGCTCTCAGCCTCGGAGCCATCGGCGGACCTTATGTATATACAAGTAGGCTGCTTAAGATGACCACGGGGTGGATGGCCGTAGAGATAACTTTATCGGTAGGTTACCAGTATACAAGTATTATCCTGTGATACCCGTGATGCGATAACATTGTTGGGGGTACGAGTTCTTGGACGAGGCATGATACATCTGTGATATACCGGTGTGAAGTTTGTATGAGATGCTCTGGTATCCGTACCGTACTGGTACAGTACAGTACCATAATAATAATAATATTATCCTTATCCAGTCAAGGCTTGAATATACTCTTTCTTAGTGTTCACCTCAGCCTCGTCATACTTAATCGGCAACTCCAGGCTGCGGTCCAGCCCATCATCCATCGGCACCAGATTGACGATAGATCAAACTGTTTTTTTGTTTTTACCCCCAACTCTCCCCCTCCTCTTCCACACCCAAAATTCTCACCCTCTCCTAATGTTTGAGGATATAGTGGGGCTCTGCTCGTTCTCAGTCTTGACATAACCAGGCTCCTCTCCTCTCTCTCATCTCCAAAGAGGAAAAAAGGAAAACCGACAGAAAAGAATTAAAAAAAAAAAAAAAAAAATGACGGCCGTTCACTTCACTCCAGACCCCTCTCGGCACCGCTCTCAACCACCTCTTCCAGGCCAACCGCAACCGCAACTCCCTTCCGCCTCCGCTTCACCTAATACCGCTGGTCCCACTAGTGGTCATCACGTGCAGTCACGCGCTCTTCATTCTAAATCTTCTCAATCCACTAACATGAACACTGTCGGGCCACCACAATCATCACGAACAACAACCTCTGCGTCCCCGAACGGATACATGATGGTTGACGGCGCGATCCCCAGCCACACGAATGGTACCAACACAAAGATACACATCACAAGAGAAGATAACATCAACAGCAACAATACATTTGTCACCGCAAATTCAACTAACCCTTTGGCTACATCACATAATACCACCAGTCACCGTGTCAATGGCAATGCTACACACCCACACCCACACCACCACACACAACACCACACACAACGGACCCATGATTCTCCATCCCACCATCAACTGTATCCGGCGAATGGTCCATCCACTCCTACCACAGCCATCTCCCGTCAGAATTCTTCCTCCTCGACCTCCTCCTCGGTCAATCTGGTTGGCGAGTCTTCCTCCGCCGAGTTGCTGAGACAGACCTTGAATGTTGCGGTTGCCGCTGCTGACGCTGCTACTATCACTTCCCCGAACCCGAATTCGCCGCGGTCGGTTAGCAGAACTAACCCCCGTAGGAAGCCTCCTCCCAATATTTCCACCACCAATAAGGTTTCTGGCCTCCTCACGCCCGCTGGTTCTGCGGATAATTCTGGCGCGGAGAGTCCGGACGAGGAGGTTCATGATCACGAGGAGGGTATGAGGCATGGTTTTGCGGAGGAATATAATTCCGAGGCCTACCTTGCTGTGTTGGAACAGGTTTGGTTCTCTTTTTGGATTCATTCATTCATTCACTCATTCCTCCCTTCTCTTCTTACCTTGTTCTTCTGGTAATGTTTGAGGTGGTGTGTTTTTTCTTTCTTTTCTCTTCTGACATGGTGGGAACTAGGTTTTTTACATGTACTACACCGACAAACGTCATGAGACAGGTGGAAATCCTAAGGAAGAGACACAAACCTTTCCATTGCAAGAGTGGAGAATGAGAGACCGACTGAAGACTGTTTCCGCCGCGCTGGTCTTGTGCCTGAATATCGGGGTGGATCCCCCGGGTATGTTTTCCCTATTTCTGCGGCTCGCCGCCTCTGCTAATGTTGGGGCAGATGTCGTCAAGACAAATCCGTGTGCGAAATTAGAATGTTGGGTAGATACCACTGCTCACCCTGCCGCCAAAGCATTGGAGCAGATTGGGAAGAATTTACAGCAACAATACGAGACGCTTAGCATTCGAACGAGGTATAAGCAATACCTTGATCCCTCTGTCGAAGATACCAAGAAGTTTTGCTGCTCGTTACGTCGCAATGCTAAGGATGAACGGATCCTTTTCCATTACAACGGCCATGGAGTGCCGAAGCCAACGTCCAGCGGCGAAATCTGGGTGTTTAACAAGACTTTTACTCAATACATTCCCATTTCGCTATACGATCTGCAGAGCTGGCTCGGTGCGCCAAGTCTGTTTGTCTATGACTGCAGTGATGCTGGGAATATAGTTGCCAACTTCAATCGGTTCATTGAGAAGCATGAGCAGGAGAACATGGAGCTACGGGCCAAGGACCCGAATGCTCTAGTTACCACGTCGTATAGCGATTGTATACAGTTGGCTGCCTGTGGAAGTAAGGAGACGCTGCCTATGAATCCGGATTTACCGGCGGACCTGTTCACTTGCTGCTTGACGACCCCGATCGAGATAGCGATTCGTTTTTTCGTGCTTCAGAACCCATTGCCTTCAAATTTGACAGTCGAACAGGCGATGAAGATTCCTGGCCGTCTCCAGGAGCGTAGAACGCCACTCGGCGAGCTCAATTGGATTTTCACTGCTATCACTGATACCATTGCTTGGAACACCCTTCCTCGGCCCTTGTTTAAGAAACTCTTTAGACAGGACTTGATGGTGGCAGCGTTGTTTAGGAATTTTTTGCTAAGTCAGAGGATTATGAGGGTTCACCAATGCCATCCGATCTCCTCACCCCCCCTACCAGAGACACACCATCACCCGTTATGGCAGTCGTGGGATTTGGCGGTCGAAATGGTGCTGGCGCAGTTACCGGCGTTGAATAGAGCTACTGATGGTGGCCCCGCATACGAATATCAACATTCTGGATTCTTCACTGAGCAGCTCACAGCCTTCGAGGTTTATCTTTCTCAGGGCGCGATTGATAGAAAGCCTCCAGATCAGCTTCCAATTGTGCTTCAAGTTTTGCTTAGTCAGGTGCATCGTCTTAGAGCACTCATTTTGCTCAGTAAATTCCTCGATTTGGGTCCCTGGGCTGTGAATCTGGCATTGAGCATTGGTATTTTCCCCTACGTGCTTAAGCTTTTGCAGTCGGCGGCGCAGGAATTGAAGCCCGTGATGGTGTTTATTTGGGCGAGGATATTGGCCGTCGATGCTTCCTGCCAGGCGGATTTGTTGAAGGATAATGGGTACAGCTACTTCATCCAGATCCTCAGTCCAGCCTCTGGAATCCCTGTCGGAAACGCAAGTGAACATCGCGCTATGTGTGCTTTTATTCTCGCCATGTTCTGCAGAGGATTTCACCAGGGCCAGGTGGTCTGCATGCCTCCGAATGTTATGGGCGCATGTCTTGCCCACCTTGGAGACGAGAATCCATTGTTGAGGCAGTGGGCATGTCTCTGCTTGTCACAACTTTGGCACGACTTTGCCGAGGCCAAGTGGCAAGGCATCAGGGAGGGTGCACACTTAAGACTTTGTGAACTTGCTACGGACAACGTTCCGGAGGTCCGGGCGGCGGTATTGTATGCACTCACAAGTTTCTTAGGGATCCCGGAGATGAGCGAGGAGGTTGCAAAGATTGAGCAGGATGTTGCGGGGTCGCTCTTGATAATGACAGCCGATGGAAGTAATATGGTTAGAAAGGAGTTGGTAATATTCCTCAGTATGTTTGTCAAGAGGAATGAAGGAAAGTTCTTGGTTGCGGCATTCGAGCAGATGGTCCAAGAGAGGGACGATCTTACTGGTGTTGCGCGAACGCAGACGGCTGAGGGATTGAGGCCGAGTACCCAGCCAACTGAGAGACATCATTGTAGGGTGTCCTCTGGACCTGGAGCGTTGGGGGCTGAGGGAGCAAATGGTTCAGCTAAAAAGAAGGATACTCTCGGCGCTATTTCGCCTAATACCATTTTCTCAGCAATATGGCAAGCGTTGCTCATGTTCTCCGTCGATCCGTTCCCAGAGATTGGTCAGGCTGCCCAGATTGTTGTTGATTATGTCCACCTCGCACTTTTGCAGAGCCCACTTGGCCAGTATGCCCAGGATGTCATTGAGGAGATTTCCCGCGCCAATCTGCGTAGCTTCAACCTTACTTTGCCCACCAATTCGATGCCCGAGAGCAAGCGTCCCGTGTCGCCTGCGCCGACCAAGGTCGAAGGGTACTTTACTACCTCTTTGCGAAGATCAGCGAGCATTGCAGCCAGCTTGAAGCAGATGGCTTTGGGATATGCCAGTGGAGAGACGACACCTACTAATTCTGCGCCCGCAACACCGAAGACATTGAAGGGGAGCTGGTTAGCTAATGGGAGCGCAGAGAGAAGCCCTGAATGGAATAGACCCCCAGACGCGAACGACCCACAGAGCTCGTCCACAAGCTATCGCACTGCCAAGGAACCGATTACTCGTAATTTTCATGCTAAAGGAGTTGACAAGATTCCTAGTATTCCGCTTAAAAGCCAGTTTATGGAATGGTCTATTGAGGTCTGTTATCCGTGACGATACATCCTAAGCCTAGCTAACCTTGAGCAGTACTTCCGCGAGCCTCAAATGAAACCGAATGAGGCCGACGAGCCGGGCAGTGTTGATTATAACCAGCGTTTGTGGCGTAGAACGCGAAATGACAGGATTATCATCGACACACAGACTCAAAAGGAGCGGGCGAGCGCTTCAAGATGGGATCATAATAAGGGTGTTTTCAACAACGGGAGCCTTCCTATGAGGTTGCTGTTTCATCAGTTCGAGAGCCATCTCATAGCTGTGGATGAAAAGGATAGTGTATCGGTATGGGACTGGGCAAAGGGTGTGAAAACCAACCATTTTTCGAATGGCAATCCTACCGGCACAAAGATCACTGAGATTAAGTTTCTTAATGAGGACGATGTTGCTCTATTGATGACTGGTAGCGGGGAGGGTGTCGTTCGTATTTACCGGAATTATGAGAATGACGGTGAAGTCGAGCTGGTCTCTAGCTGGAGAGCTCTTACCGATCTGTTGCCTTCTAGGAGAAGCTCTGGGTTGGTTGCTGAATGGCAGCAGGGAAGGGGGACAATGCTCGTCGGAGGAGATGTGAGGGTTATCAGAGTCTGGGACGCACCGAGGGAGATGTGCATGAGTGTAAGTATTCCCCCTTTATTTTATCAGGAATATACTGACCACGGGCGTAGGATATCCCCGCACGCTCCGGGTCCTGCATTACCAGCTTGACATCTGAACAGGTTGCTGGCAACATCTTTGTAGCTGGCTTCGGTGATGGAGCAGTCAGGATATATGATCGCCGTCTGGCGCCTCGAGACTCGATGGTGAAGGTTTGGAAACAACACAAAGCCTGGATTGTAAAAGCGCACATGCAACGAGGTGGCATGCGTGAGTTGGTATCTGGAAGTGCAACGGGCGAGGTCAAGCTCTGGGATATCCGCATGGATAATCCGGTTAGGGGATTCCTCGCACATACAAAGGGAATGAGAAGCTTGAGTGTTCATGAGCATGCTCCTATCATTGCAACGTATAATAACCCCACAAATTCCTTACCCCTGTCCGTTATTTTCCTGCTTTTATGAAGGCTAATAATCCATCGGTAGTGGCTCAACCTGGCATGATGTGAAACTCTGGAATACCTCTACTCCCAAGGACCTCCCACTCTCAACAATAAAGCCCTACAGCAGCTTCCTACACCAGAACCGCAGCAATCCCGTGACCGGACTCGCTTTCCACCCTCACCGGATGATGGTAGCCTGCTCCGGCGCTGGAGACAACCATATCAGTCTTTACAATTGTGATTCCAAAGGCGGGATTTAGGGTCGCAGTCTATATAACTTGGCTTTTTTCCGTTTCACCAGCTTTGTTAGTCATAATCGTAATAGCTTTTTAACGTGGGCATCAATTGACCGAGGCTTTATCCGTTGGTTGGTTCCTTGATCGATTGGGACGGTGCTTTTTGAGGCGAGGGGGGGGGAAGGTGTGTATTCTAGATTAGTTGAGTAATTAGGGAGGGGGAGCTGGACGGGAGTTTGGTGCTTTCTTTCTTATAGTTACTTAATGGGGGATTTTTTATTTTCCTTAGGTTTTTTGTGCTTGCTCGATATATTGATTGATTCTTCTATTTTTCCTTGTTAGCATTTGTCATGACAATTTTGCGGGTATCGTATGTGGCAGTGGCCTAAAGTTATTTGATAGATGAATTGATGGATGAAAGTGGTGATGGATGAGGTTGGGTGCGATGAAATATTCTTTGCTGATCGTGAGCTTGCATAGGAGCTGTTACAGTGAGGTGACGGAGTTTTCTTTGGGTGTTTAGTGGCTAAACCAGGCTTACTCTACCGTGCTATATTTGACCTCGCGAAGACAATATGGAAACTATAATAAAAGTACAAGTATCATAGGAAAAATCAGGACATGGGAAAAAAAAGAGAGGCTTCCCTTTGTTTTCGCCTTTTCCTTGCTTTTTTCAATCGTCTAATTGTGCGGTTTAGATCATTTATTATCCATCAACCCCTCACCTGTACTCGTACTTTATGGTACTGTACTGTCATCGGTCTCAAGGCGAGATACTTGAGTGCTTGTTTGTGCCACGGTGCCGGGCCTCTGAAATCGATCCTCCCTACGACCAAAATCCAATGACGAACCGGCCCAACAAGAAGGAAGTTTTCCGAGGAAAACTCTGCAGAAACCCGCTTAGAAGCAATTCCTCAGTGGCTCTATGGATTAACTTACATTCCTTGGTGAAGCGGGAGTGGTAAGAGGCGCATTTTGAAAATAAATAAATAAATAAATAAATAAACGAACACAGATAGTGCCATACCTCCTCGTGCATTCACTTTGACGGGCACACAATCAACGATCATGAGTGATGGTTCGTGATGAGGACCAAAGGGTTGTGTGTGGGGAGGAGGGGACGGGGTGATCTGCCGTGCTGTGGGAACAAAATTCTGGTGGGGATCACGTTGTTAAGTAGCAGGGCTTTTGGATTGAGTGATCCGGACAGGAGGCAAGGGTCATGAAAGGCATTCCTCCATCCATGGTTAGATGAGTGGGGAGAACAATTATCTCCACGACAGACGATATACAATTCAGAAACCTCGAATGTCAGCAACCAGGGTGAGTTAATGGCCGCCTAGGGTATATATTAGAGAAACACGGCACCTGACTATGGTGCACCGGAGCACCAGACACCATATTAAACAGTTCTGGTTTGCCCGAGGCCTGGTCCCTTTCCTTCTTACTTATAATGGCTCAAGTTTGGCCGCAATGAGGCTGCGGTGGTATGCATACCTGATCTTCGAGCGAGGGGGATATACTGTTGCTGGATCCGGCGTGTAGGAGAGGGAGGGAGGAATATAGTGGGGAGTTGAGCTTGCTTTCTCAGCGCTCGCGTGAGGTCAGGTCGGGGTGAGGCTGCCCCGGGCTTTCGGCATATGACTGAGGTCGGTAAATATTTTGCGGAATGGTTAATAGAAATATTTGGATGTGGGCAAATGTCCGGAGATGCCTATCCCATGGACGGATGAGACATGCAGATTCACGGCCTTCCTAATATGGTAGCTAGAACCAAGGGTCTTGGCAGAAGATTGTAGTTAATTTGCTCACGTGATATCAAATTCAACCGAAAAGCCAATTCCAAGAATAACGCTATTTGTAGGAAAATAAACCAAAAGCCATTACAGAACAGTATGAAAATCAAAAAAGCACTTATTTCGCTTACAAAGAGGTATCTCACATAAAGTGCACCAAATACCTATCTCACTTACCTTCATTTTTTGTAGAATCTCAGCCCGTTCATGTATTGGAGGGGGGTTTTTAGGGTTGCCTTGACATTTTTTAAACCGGCAATACCAGTATTGGTATTTTTTATTCGGTAAAAACATTTGTAGATGGGCACCAGTGGTACGAAAAGAGAAAGGTAGTAAGGATGTCTTTGCTGTGATATAGGCATGCAGGTTGGGTTTAGAGTTTGTAAGAAGAGGATGTAGCTGAGACCAGCCAGTCTCAGCAAGGGCAAGAGCAAGCTTACGGCGGAAGGCTTTATGCTCATACTTGGGGTTAACCAAGCGAGCAATGAGGTAGGTATTTGTAATTGCCATATCCAGAATCCAAAACTAGAGTGGAAGCTAATTACGTCGACTGGTTTGATGCGATGGATAATTACTTCGAAGCTGGTCGGCGATGTTGACCCCACCTATGTACTTGTTGTAGTCGTCAACAAGAGCTGGGATGGGCAGAAGCTTTTGGTGTTCGCTGTCTCCAAATGGCTTTCTTGTAGCTACTGCATTGGAGCTGCTTTTTTTTTTTTTTTTTGCGATTACTGAGAACTAGCTGACAAAGATCGTGAATTATAGTTAAAAAAAACAGTATTATTGTCCTGCCATAGGGCAGTACAAACACCATTTACTATGATACCCGAGAGGTGATTCCATTCCAAAAGCTTCGAGGTTATCTCTTTACTAATCGGAAAAGCAGAAGGGAAATCGTGACGCTTGGCCCGAGTAGTGCCAACAGCGCCAATTCCGTGGTCTCTCAGGTGCTGGAATAAGGAAATATTAGTAAAGTAATTGTCCATAGAGATGTTAAACTGACTGGACAGGAATGGGAGGGCAAAAACAAGATGGCATACTACCTGGGTGGTGGGGGAAAAGCTGCTTAAGAGTTTTTTTTCTTCTTCAACCGAAAGTTGTTGCCCACTGCAATTTAATAAGGTAAGAGAGCGTTCCTTGCTAATATTCGTATACTGATTGGTTGTTTTGGGAAAGTCACTAACCTCATTCCCCACAGCATCAGAATAAAATAAAAACAGATACGTATATCCCTGGTCACAGAGAGCATAGATTTTATGCCCCTGATCTATTGGCTTTCCAAGCATTTTGATAGTGTGTACTGACTGGCCTTTACAGAAAACCATCATTTCATTGAATGAAACATTCGAGGATGGCTAGAAGTGTTCTTGGAAACACTGGCACAGGTGGGATGCAAGTGGCTCTATTTTATGCCACCAGTTTACCTGATTGTAGGTCTCATCTGGTGGTGAAATATGGAAATAACATTTTATTTGCTTATACCGATTATAGGACATGTTGTGCATAATCGGATGCTGTATCTCCTGATTCTAGTAATCCTCAATAGCAGGTAAGGAATGTACCCCCATCCATATCTGCAATCCTATAAAGATTCGCAATTCTTCTACACTAACTAGGTACCAAGGCCGTGGGAAAGACTGAAGTTCTGGGGCAATAAGTGGTACACTAGGATGCACAGCTGGAGGTTCGAGAATGGGTTGGTATGGCATGTGTCCAACTAACTCTGGGTGGGGGATACTGGGTGGAATAGGAGGCATTGGTATGGATGGGCTGATAGTAACCGAGGAGTCTTGGTTGCCCTCAGCTGTTTGCTGTTTGATTTCTGCATAGCGGTTGGTATTGGTAATGATTTGGGCTAAGATATCATTTCCAAAAAACAGGTTGAAGAGAGCAAGCGGTTTGGGGTTGCTGCCGAATTCAGGTGGGAGAATTGGACTTGCTGGATGTGCCAAAAATGGACTTTTGTATGCTTTGAATTCTGGGGGTTCGGGTAGGCTTTCCAGGATTTTCGCATTCTCTGCCGATATCTTCTTCACTTTCCCCGCTGGCCTCTGCGGTGCACTCTTGACTTTTTTTGCCTGTGATACATAACTCAGTAATCATAGTTTCCAGCTATGTGCCCTCCGTTCCACCATGTAACAGAACTTACTGAAGTCTCTTCAGTTGGTTTACTTGTAGGAGGCCATTTGCGGCTTCCCTTTGGTACTGTTATAATGTTTATTTCCCGCTTGCGAAGGGCTGACCATTGGGCTGAATCCATTTTGATCAATTTAAGTGGAATCACAATTATCTATGATTGTTTAGGTGAGGTTACAAGAATGGCTTACTAATGTATGTTTCTTTTGCAAGTACTAACCTAACTAGGAAGGCCGTGAATCTGCATGTCTCATCCGTCCATGGGATAGTTACCCGAAGGCACAGTTAATTTAGGTATTTGGAGATACTATCATCTCGTACCATTGACCAGCTCGTGACCAGCAAGTGAGACACCAACCATTGAGGGGCCAAGTCACAAAATCCAATACTGCCAAGAATTTCCTAATCCAATGTGGCTCGCAAATTTCTGTCTCTCACTCCGTATGGGACCAAACGATTTACTGGTCCTGTGGCGCAGCCAGTTTTGTTTACATGATCTTGGACCAGAGCACCAGCTACAACACCTCAAGAAGCGGAGAATTGAAAAATTCTTTCACCTTGTCGGATCACTTCTACCTTGGTATTACAGATGAAGAGTCAAAACATTCTAGTCTAGTAATCGCCCCTGGATCCACGGGTACGACGCCTGTGTGATGAGTCCGGCGGTGAAGATGTTTCAGCCACCGGCCTCTAACTATGAGTAGTGCGACCCCGGCGACTAGCAGGAACCAATCACCGCCAATATCGTGGGAACAGCCCTAAAGCAGCTGGTGGTTAGGGGTGTAGTGCTGGCGTATATATACTGTGAAACTGGTCTTAAAAAAGATGACAATGGAGCTTAGCGGCTGAGGTCTGTGACTTCCGGATATGGTGAAGAGATGGAAGCGGACTGTTTTCTCATTACTCTAGGTTTTCACCTGCACCGATGCCTTGGAAGGTTGGATAAGTACCTCCCTAATCATCCACTGGAGCTTGTGGGGCCTGTGAAGGATATCCTTCAGGGATGACTGAGAATTCGAATATCAGTCACCGGGAGGCCTCGTGCTGAGGTCGAAATTATGAGATATTTCACCACAGGGGTTATAGTACCCATTAATCTCAGCCTGTATGAGATGAAATGATATCTGGAGAAGAGGTTGGAGATGGACACTATGCGAGAAACAATGCCTGATGCTTTATGGAAAATGTTCTGAGAATTTTTCGGGAAAAAATCTCTGAAATGTGCGTAGGATCCACAGTTCCTACTCCATGAATGATATATTCACTAATAGTGGCCTATAGACTCCTCCTTGTTCCATTAAACATCCACGCTATCATAGGGGAGGATACCATCTTTGAGGGAAAACCAAAGTTGAAAGAGATGACCAAGGGCAATTATTTAGGGGACGGATACAAGACCTGATCACAAATGAAGTCGCAGGAGGGGAGTTCGTTGGGTGCAGGCTCCGAACCGGCTCTGATGTGGGTATCGAACTCGAAGCGGCCACTATATGCTCACAAACCATGCTACGCCTCTTAGGAGTGAAGATATAATCCCCTGATCTGAATCTTAGAAACATTCCTACAGTTCGGGCACCTCGAGCGTGATATCTACGCCTCATCCCGGTTGAAGCATTCTTCTCTACCGCCCGGCTTATCCATTTCAGTCTGCAAGAGTGTTTATCCAATAATCCATGCCTATTCTAAAGCCTACAATCAACGACAGTGGGAATTTGCTTGACGTACCTCAATCTTCAGTGTGTCCGGGAACTTTCGCCGACTTTTGGCTCCACCCCGTCGGTTCGATAGCATTGGCACGGAAATCGACGACCCGGACGGGAAATTTGATAACAAATATCGACAACCTAGACGGGAAAATCGACAATATTGACACCAGTGTGAGCCATGTCGAAGGGGGCCTCCGGCAGACTTGCAAAGACATCCAATACCCAGGGATGTTGGTTCAACTTCTGGGGACGAATGCTTCCCACTTCCGGTCGACGATCTTAGCAACCAGTTGCCTAATAATAAACGCCTGAAATAGAGACAAAAAGCTGATGAAAAGGTGGCTCGAGGAGCTGAAGCATTGCCAAAAGTCTTCCAGTGAGGGCTGCGGATCTAGTAGTGGACAAGTAAGCAGCACGGTTCTACCCAAATATACCCTACAACTCTTACGTGAAAATTATCTCAATGCGGGTGGCTCGCTGGTTAGAAAAATGAAGGAAATAATAATTCAGGACTTCAGGAGAATAAGAGTTCAGGTCCCCATATTGAAAAATACAGCTTGAGTTGGCTTCTATGATACCTTTTTTCTTTTCCTCTTTTTTTTGCTTTCCCTTTCCTTTCCTTTCGATCTTGCTTTTTCAGTTCTGAAGTCCCTAAGTCCTATAGGTGCGACAACAGATAAGTGTCTACCATGTGGCTGAGTATGCAACATAATATAATAAACCGAATACTAGACCAAATCAAATCAAAAAACCATACTTTCACTCTCCCATATCTTAGAAGAATTTCTACGGTTTTTGTAATTGATTTGATCCAGTATTGGGTTAGTTCTATTGGATTGCATACTGAGTCACTACTCAGCCACCTGCTTGACACTCTTCTCTTTCTGCACCATATGTTTCGACCCATCGAGGGACGCGATATCATTACCCACACTGTGCAACGCATACAGTCGCACGCTGTTGTCTCGGAGGGCCAAAATAGTGGGCACTGGTTCGGACGAGGTGACACCTAGTAGAAAACTTTGCTGAGTGGAAGTTGGAGTCCCACGATGGTTTGGTGTTCACAATTAGTATAAAAACCGAGTTCGCAGAATACAAGAGCTACTGCTAAAACTATAGAGGAAAACCTGGCAGAAATATCGTGATTTTTTGTACCATACTTTCCGAACAGATATGATACCAATCTTGCCATCACAACCCCTCACTCGTAGACCTCTCAAATCTATGATAGACATCCAGCCAGGTTTCCCCTGCATTTTACTGGCCAGCTATTGGCGCTAAAGTGAGGAAAAAAAAAAAGAGCCTCCAAACCCGAAAAAGACTTATGAGGGGCAACAACCACAACCTTCTCTTCCACCCCACCACGCCTTTCCATCCATCACCCACCGTCGCCGCCACTAATTACCCATAGCATATACGATACGTAGACCATGTCCGGAAATGCTTCACCCTCGCCGCCGGCGAGTCCGGAGATTGATGACGGCACAAAGACGGTTATTGGGATTGCATTCGGGAATACTACAAGTTCTATTGCCTATACTACTCCAGTTTGTGCCTGCTCCCCTGCTTCGAGGGGGTTCGACTGACGACACGTAGGATGGCAAAGCGGAGGTTATCGCGAATGAAGAAGGAGGTTCGATTGTTATGGGAGAATGGATATTGATGGGATGAGAGGCTGACGGAAAACACTAGATCGACAAATTCCTTCAGTGCTATCATGGGTCGGTTCGGAAGAGTACCACGGAACACAGGCGAAATCGCATCTGATTCGGAATGCGAAGAACACCGTAGCGTACTTCCGGGACTTCCTCGGGAAGAAGTACTCCGAGATCGATCCTACGAATAGTCACAACTCTGCTCACCCATTGGACGTCGATGGCGTGCCATCATTCAACCTTCAGCAGGCGGATGACGAGACTGTTTCCACCGTTAGCATAAATGAAATCACCACGAGACACCTTATCCGGCTTAGGGATTCGGCGTCGGACTTTTTGGGGCGCAAAGTTACTGGTGCGGTGATCACTGTTCCGACCGACTTTTCGGACACCCAGAAGGAGGCGCTTGTTGCCGCGGCTAAGGCTGGTGAGCTTGAGGTTCTGCAGATCATCCACGAGCCGGTGGCAGCCGTCCTTGCGTATGCCGCTAGGCGGACACCCGAAGCGCAGGGCGTCGACAGGAATATTTTGGTAGCGGATCTTGGAGGTACTAGGTGTGATGCTGCTGTTGTCGCATCTAGGGGTGGGATGTACACCATTCTTGCGACGGCTCATGATTATGGACTTGGCGGGCTGAGGCTTGATGAGGTGCTTGTGAATCACTTTTCGAAAGAGTTTATCAAGAAGCACAAGGTTGATCCGGGAAATGAGAGATCGCTTGCGAAGCTGAGGCTGGAGGCTGAGGGGACGAAGAGGACTTTGTCGTTGGGCACCTCGGCAACCATTTCCATCGAGTCGCTTGCTGATGGATATGACTTCCACTCTACCATTAACAGACTGCGGTACGAACTTTCCGCGAAAAAGGTGTTCGACCAGGTTGTGTCACTCGTAGAGAATGTTGTAAAGAAAGCGGAGCTGGACTTGTTAGACATTGGCGAGGTTTGTCCCCTCATCCTACAGCCAGCCATCTAGTACTAACCACGATCTAGGTAATCCTCTCGGGCGGCACCTCGCACACCCCCAAAATCGCCTCTCGCATCGCCGCCCTCTTCCCAGATTCGGTGCCCGTAAACGCCCCAGCAACCCTTACAACGGCACTCAACCCATCAGAACTCTCGGCCCGCGGTGCAGCAATCCAAGCTTCGCTAATTGCTGAATTTGACAAGGAAGACATCGAGCAATCTACCCACCCGGCAGTAACCGTAGCCCCCCACCTCTCACATCCAATCGGCGTCGTAATCGGTGAAGACAACAGCTTCCAGACAATACTCGAAGCCCAGACCGCAGTTCCCGCTCGGAGGATCGCTCAATTTGACGTTCAGGCTGACGGCGACGTGATTGTTAGAATCTGCGAGGGTATTAGAGAAATTGTGGTTGAGAAGGTTGAGCGACAAGTCAATGGTGAGAGGGACGAGGACGACAGCGAAGAAGAAGAGGAGGAGGAGGAGGAGCGCAACTGCGTGTTAAAGGTGCACAAAGTCATTGCCGAAGCAGCCATCAGGGGCGCCAAGAGAGGCGGGAAAGTCGAAGTTACTATCAATGTCGGCTCGGACCTTGGCCTGAATGTTGCTGCCAGGGTGATTGGCACCCAAATTGGGGTTAGGGGAGAGGTTAAGCCCGAGGCCGGATCTGCGCAGTAATCTATTTATGTGGCTGTACGTGCACGTAGAATTAGGTACAAAAGTTTTATTGCTTGCTATTAAAGCGGGATGTCCTGTTCTTTTTTTACACTTTTTTCTTTTCTATAAACCCTATGTGTGTTTGCTTTTTAGTTGCCGTTTTTCCAACTCAGTAATAGATTGTGTCGAGCTTGAAATTGATCGATTGGATGGGTGGTCATGTTATCGCTCCTGATTTATATACGGCCCTTATGCAGGTCCTGGCGCTACGTACATCGCTTTCTCTTCCTCTGCTGGTGTAATATCTAGAAGGGGAGGAAGGAAGGAAGGAGACGGTGATTTATCCGGCCGGACATACCTGACATGCAGTCAGTGCACCTCCAAATAACCATTGGCCATACTGAACCTCTATGTCGGGGGTGGGTTTATTGTGCTGTTTTTTGCAACTCCCCATTCATTAAGTAACCGGTGTCCTCCACCATGAGTAGTGGAAGGAGAGGAGCTAACTTATGGTCACAATTTGTCACTCGGTATGTACTATGTATTATAGCATGTGTGACTTATAATAATTATGGTGTGAAGTTACCCACACCGTCTAATGGCCCGGGCAAAGCATAGTGTTCAGGAACTCGGGATAGTTGGGAGCTGGGGATAGCGCCGGTGGATCGACATCTGTCCCTGCGCTCACTCTTCTCCTGGTCCTTGTCCTCTATCACAATTTGGCAATCAGACGGCTTCAATTCCGTAGCGCTGTGGGACGAACGAATAGTGTTGATTTGCGGTGTGTTAGCTACCAATGGGCTACCCCTCAACAGCTTCATCCCACTCACTTCATTACTATGGTAGTTGTAAGACTTTTTCTTTTTTCCTTAAACCGTGCTCTTCAGTCTAGCTTTAACAGTTCGGGATCGATAGAGGACTTTTTCTAGACAGGAGATTACTGACCGAGCCCTTTGCCCTATATTTTCCCATAAAGGCACCGGTATGCACATGATACCCGGTATGATACATAGCGTCAACACTCGTCATAGCCTTGGCATTTAACCTTGGCATATAGCCAAGGCTATGATACTCTAAAAAATTATTTTTCCCCACAACGACAACATCACCATCTTTCCTCCCGCCTGTGAAAAAAGAATCCAGTGCCCAAGATGTACATCCGTCAGTCCAAATTTCCCAACCTGAGGAAGTACCAGTACTCCGCCGTCGACCACTCCCTAGTCTCGCGGTACATTCTGAAACCCTTTTACACAAACTTCTTTATCCACCTTTTCCCACTCTCCATGGCGTACGTCTCATTTCCACCCCTGGAAAATAGACAAAAAAACTAATAATTCCTAAGGCCAAATTTAGTTATTATTCCCCATCCGAGATGACAATGGAGAGAGTTGGTCCGCTGACATTTTTCAGATTACCCTCTCCGGTTTTGCTTTCGTGATTGTTAACCTCCTCACGTTGCTGTGGTACAATCCCACCTTAGACCGGGACTGCCCAGGATGGGTCTACGCCTCGTGGGCAGTGGGCCTATTCCTCTACCAGACATTCGATGCCTGCGACGGTACGCAGGCAAGACGTACTCGGCAAAGCGGGCCCTTAGGAGAGCTATTTGACCATGGTATGCCGCTCCCCGGAACTTTTTTTATCCCACCCACCCATCTAACAGAAAGCAGGCGTAGACGCAATGAACACAACACTGGAAGTCGTCATCTTCGCTGGCGCAATGAACCTCGGTTACTCGTGGATAACTATCCTCACGCTCTTCGCGAGCCTCTGCGCTTTCTACCTGACGACTTGGGAGGAGTACCACACTGGGACATTGTACCTAGGCTTGGTCTCGGGGCCCGTTGAGGGCGTGCTGACGCTCTGCGCCGTGTACGCCGTCACCGCTTTCAAGGGTGGGAGTTTCTGGCAGAGGCCCATGCTCGAAGCGCTTGGGTTGCCATCCCCCGGCTTCTTGGCCCCAGTGCTGAGAGATATGTCATTTGCTCAATGGCATTTGGTTTACGGGGGGATTATCTTGGCATTCAACATTGTGCAGAGGTTCGTTGTCACCTTTCGCTCTATCATGGCTCCCTGCAAAAAGCAACACGGTGAAGGATTAAACATTTTTAACCCTGAGTTTCCGTAATGAAGAACAAAGAAGCAACACTCTAATTTTTTCATGACGCCCCCTCCTGGCCTATCCTCTCTCCCCAACCCGCCCACCTGACATTCACAAATGCTGACAGCTCCCGCGCCTAGCTCCCATAACGTAACTCGCGCCCGCCGCAGCAAGAACCTCCCCGTAGCCCCAGCGCTCCTAGGCCTAGCTCCTTTCTTCACTACCTGGCTCGCAATCCCCCTCTGGCTATCCCTACGCCTGGAGATTCTCCACGAGCATATCCTCCCCTTCATCTTCTTCATCGGCGCCTCCTTCGCCTACCAGGTTGGGCTGATCATCACGGCGCACCTAACGAAATCCCCTTTCCCGTACTTTAACGTCCTCTCACTTCCAATCCTCGCGGGGACGCTCGATGCCCTGGGACCGTTCTTGCAGGCCAGGCTGGGTCTTGGATGGACGAGTGTACTTGGCGGAGGACCATATACTATTGCATACGTCCTTGCGTGCCTGGGGTTGAGTATTGGTGTCTATGGGAGCTTCGTGGTAGATGTTGTCACGAATATTTGTGATTATTTAGATATTTGGTGCTTGAGTATTAAGCATCCTTATGCCCCTAATGTCCCAGAGAAGAAGGTGGAGTGAAGGTGGTATAGTATAGGCGTCGATAAGGAGTAATGGCCGATTAATGGCGTATCGTAAAAATTGGAATATTTGGACCTCACGCTAAGACGTCCAGAATTTCCTCCTTTGGATTAGGGGGGGAAGAGGGAAAGCACTTTTTTTAACCCTTAGCAAAGACAAATAAAAAAGGAAAATACGATCAACCCCACTAGGAGTCCAATGCTCTAGTGTGATGAAGTCCAATTATTCCAAACCTTTGTGGTGTGCGGTTGTCGCGGGGGAGGGGGGGCGTATGAGCTTGGGTGGAGTTTAAGGGATAACTATCATATATAATACGAGTATTTTTCATTTGACTTCCTTGTTGGTATGGGAGGTAGCAGTTAACAACCTAAACGATGGTAATTGGGGATAGCAGGCTTATAAGCTTAATATCTCTTGAATTGTCCTTCATACGATCCTAATACTTTACTGGGAAAAACTTATTAAATCTAGGAGATAGTGTAAGAGAGAAACGATCACAGATAGCGATTATGCCTTTTCACGCTAATTATTCCTACCTTTTGGTACAGCCTCTGGTAGAAAAAATCGGGAAATGACGAATCAGCTTCTGGGTTTTGAATGGAGAATTCAGAGTGCTCGAGCCAATTGAGGAACCGTGTCCTAAGAATTAATTTCCACATTTCCCAACAGAGGCTGTACTTGTACGAGTACCGTACTGATGGCGCTTACCTAATCTGCGAGCTAACCTAGAGTGGACGAAAGACCTGTCGGTGAATACTGGTCTAATATATGATACTCACCCAGGCTCATTCGTCCACTCTGGGTTAGCGCCAATATTAGATAAACACCACAGCCATTTAGGATACTCATCCAGTTGTCCGTTATCCACACTTGGTTCATGCTCAGATCGAGTAAGCGAGACTCTGATTCAATATACTCGCCCAGCAGTCTATCTTGCGCCCTAGTTCAACGTTAACATTGTCCGATGGAAGGGATTGATAAAAAGGAAGGGGATGAATACCGAAGGACTGACATCACTCTGGAGTGATGTTGGGATCTCGCTGTGTGGCGGTTCGGGCTTCACAGAATCAAACGGGACCAGTGAGCCCAAGCGTCCAGTCCGTCAGCCTTTGGGTGCGGACGGGACGGACGGCACTGCATGGGGGGATGCCCTGGACGGACAGGCGGGCCCGGCAGTCAACCCCTAGGATGGCCATCTTTACGAAAGATGGACGCCTTCCCCAGTACCATCCTCACCCACCCTGCCCGGGATGCCCGGGACTACAGCCCGCCGGGGCACAGTAAGGTGCCCCGGACGGTTGGGAACACTGATTGGGACCCGGTCTTCCGCTGCGCCGTGATTTTCCTGTAGGTTTCAATGTGCGTTGAGAGCCTGGGTCGTGGAGACACTAAAGCGTGAACTTTATACTCTCGGGATGATGATGAAATGAGTTGTGCAATCTACGGAAGTATTAGCTCTGGCCCGATTTATTGCGGGCTCTTGGGGGTGGATTTGGAATAACCATGTCAGTCAGTCCGGCAGGTGGGAATGTTTGGCGATTATGGAATATCATTCGGAATCAAAAGAAAAAAGCAGCTCGGGAATCATTGCACAATTGCCCATACGATTCAAGGGTAGGATCTGTCTACCGGCGGCGATGGTAGGGTACACCTATATATCCTATGCAGATCATATATGATTAACAAATAAACTCCAAGTAGGTGGCCCCATACCGGCGGTATATGATATTGACAATTCTGGGTGATCATAAATGGTGCATTTGTTAGGCAGGATTACCAACATCGCATTTACGTGGAGGGGGGGGCGCCTGCCGGTATCCATTGGTTCCTGCGCTGAAATGCGCATCATACTGATAACAGTCTAGGATAGCCCCGACCGCGCCAATTATTTTCGCTTTCCCATAGTGAGTAAGAAAACTATGAACATATTTCTCTAATAAAGTTCAAGGGGAACGTAGATGGTGGATGGAAAGTAGTCAAGATTTTGTATAAGAAAAAGAAAGGGGAAGAGCCGGGGGATGCCATGGGGTATCCTTTTCGTCGCAGAATTACCCCTGTTCAAATCCACCAAAAGGTGAATAAGAAGGTCGGGTTTGGGTGTGCCGCACTATGGTGGAAAAGTAGAAAGTAATATAGGGCAGGCGGTGGAACGCGCAGACAAGCCCATAGCCAGCGTTCAGATATGTGCCCTCTATCACAACTGACAAGCACAAATTCCGCCAACAAGAGCTAGGAAGCAGAACGAATATAAAAATAAAAATAAGGAAAAGGTTTTGGCATTTCCCCGCCTACCCAGATATGGGAGGGAGATCAACAAGCAGTGGGGCACAAGGAACAGGCCAAACAAAATCAACCCCCCCTCCTACATTATCCACGCATTTTATCTCAGCATCCTTCAAATATCTCTCAGACCAAACACAATTTACAACTCTACCCCCTCAATACCATCTCATCGTCCTCATGCATCCGGAAATTCAGCGTCAAAAAGCCCAAACCCGGGACCCCCGTGCGCCTGCGCTGTCGCAACAACTGCAGCCTTAGCATTGTTCCGCTGATCATCGCTTAGAATGTGCTTTGCCCGAGCTGAGGATGCACCACTGCTGTCCAAGCCTGATCTCTGAAGCTTCTAGATCGCCAGATCGAAGCATTTATCCAAAATCTTTTGTGCCATAAGCTCTGCCGAGGGCCCCTCTGCTCTGGGTATTCCCCAGGGCCAGTACTGTACCATTTCCCATGCGAGCCTCTTGTGTAGAGCTTCCGCCTGCTCCGTTCATTGAAGGTTTCTATCCAGATGCTGCAGGCACTGCAGCTGAGCTTAGAGACCCCAATGTAGCTAAATGCTGGGTCATGGTCCCATGTATTGCCCTGCATGGTGTGGAGGTACAGTACATGATAAGCCCACATTCGCAGTGGACCGGGCACACCCATTTCCTTGGCCCAAACCTCTCCGCAAGCTCCACCGCAGGGGTCTTCTTGAAATCGTAGCGCTTACCACATGCAGCCTCCAGGAAGGACTTCCAGCCCTCCGATGATGCGGGTAATTTTACGGTGCTAGAACAGAAAATATACAATCGCAGTATACCAAAATACACGACTTGCCCCAATACACAGTCCCCACAGATTGGCTTGTAGGATATTACTGATTCGACCAATCAGTAGTGAGTGCGTATTTGGACGGGATGTATATTTAAGTGTTCAATGACAGCGCTCGAGTAAAGGAGAGCTGAAGAAGCCTACCTTTTAACTCAGCCAAGGCATTGCAGCCGAGCACATTTCTATCGGCAAGCGCAATTCCTACCTCCTCGTTGGCCAGGATGCTCTGGAAATATACCAATTCCCGTTCCGACTCTGTGGGTTGGACACTGGGTTTACCGCGAAGTTTGGAAACTACCTTTAGTGCCATCAACAATGAGGCTGCCGCATTGTACAGTACAAGGGGGTGGAAGGAGGTAGTGCAACACCATTGCAACGGCATCCCCCATGATCGCATCTCCGCTTCCAACCCCCTTATTGTGATATCACCTCTATCCTTCATAGCCCTCCAAACCTTCCTCAAGAATCAATATGTGGGTAAAAGGAACCCGCCGCAGTGAACGTCAGTTGTTTAATTAAATAAATGTACATAGGTAGTTGAGATAATAATAAGATAAAATAAAATAGCGATCAATCCAGAAAACATTGAGCAATGGCGATCATTGACGAAGAAGAAGCAATGCTTTGAGTGAGAAACTATCTGAGATGACTGGGTCCGAATTATTGCCCTACAAGAAATAGCAGAATGGTCTTTCAGAAAGATAGCTGCTAAATTGGAGGAAAAAACCGGCCTCAAAGTACACCATAGTACTTGTGCTGGCATCTATCACTACTACCAAGAAACAGGTAGTCCTTCCAACTACTAGTGAACAGGAAGATGTAACAATCCCTGTCTGGATAGTTAGTTCTTGGCGACGGGGAACGATACTTCTCTTTCTCTCTTCTTCTTTATTTGTCTTATGATAGCTCTAGGCCTCTGCCTATGTTACCGATAGTACAAGACCTTTGTCTTCTATCGGGAACGCCTATCGTAAGCTTTCTCTAACTCGTTTTCATAAAGGACTTTCCTCGGCATAACAATAATGTTGCAATAAAGATAAAGATTGTAAAGATGTTTTATATTCGTTAAAGTCAGAAGTAGGAAAAGTAGTTAGAACAAAGCGTGAAGAACCTATCTTCCTCGGCCGCATCGACCTCCTTATATAGTATTCTTCCTGCCCTTAGTCATGTGACCTAAAGTGGTCACATGCGTGAAATCAAATCATAACAAACTAGTCATGTGACCAAAGTGATCACATGCTCAAAACCCATGACCTCATAGCGAGGTCATGTGCGAAACATAAATCATTTGCACAAGGCTTACCCGCAAGGCCCACTCGCAAGGCATACTCATCAGGTGCATATCCCATGACTCATACTTGAGCCATGTGCGAAAGCATCACAAATCCCACACATAACAAATCATATAACCTGAATAGGCCATATGCGCAAAACAATAACATACCTGTGACTCATAACCAAGTATCACGTGAAAACCTTTTTTCATGCTAAGCCACATTCGTGACAGAAGACCTCTAATCTTTCAAGGGTGTAACTGGTATGGGTACTTGGTTATTGGTTTTGTTTTAGGTTTTGCTTTAAGTATCGCTTTGATACTTAGTTTGTTTTAAGTATCGTTAGATACTTGGTTTTGTTTTATGTTTTGTTTTAAGTATTGCTTTGATACTTGGTTTTGGTTTATGTTTTGTTTTAAGTATTGCTTTGATACTTGGTTTTGTTTTATGTTTTGTTTAACTATTGTTTTGATACTTAATTAGTTTTACCAAAGAGTATCAATTGATACCTTTGATGAGTTTCGTTCATGCTAGACATGAACAGATTTGTGTATTTAAAGACTGCCTGATTCCACAATGGAAAAGGCAGACTTCGACAGACAGTATTTCAATATACTTGGTTGAACAGTTACT